TCGTAAGGCCCCTTTCGCGGCCCCCTCGTAAGGCCCCTTCGCGGCCCCTAGTGAGGCCCTTCGCGGCCCCATCAGGCCCCGTTTGCGGCCCCGTCAGGCCCCGTAAGGCCCCGTCAGGCCCCGTTCGCGGCCCGTTAGGCCCCTTCGCGGCCTGCCCCGGCCCTTCCTCGGCCCCCTTCCCGGCCCTGTCCCGGACCTGCCCCGATCCCGGCCCTGCCCCGACCCTGTCGCGGCCCGTTAGGTCCGTCGCGGCCCGTTAGGCCCCTTCGCGGCCCGCCCAGGCCCTTCCCCGGCCCCTTTCTCGGCCCGTTAGGCCCCGTCGCGGCTTGTCGCGGCCCCTTCGCGGCCCGTTAGGCCCCTTCGCGGCCCGCCCCGGCCCTTCCTCGGCCCCGTCCCGGCCCTGTCCTGGACCTGCCCCGACCCAGGCCCCGCCCTCATGCCGGTCGTGGCGCACCAGGGGCCCGTGCACCGCCCCCCCCCCCTTTTCCCGTCGCCTTGCGTGGCGAGCGGGGGGGGGGCGCGACCTGGGGGGGCGCGCGTCGCCCCTTCTTCCGCCTGCTCTGGCGCCCTGGGAGGCCGCGCGTCGGCCCCCGTACTCCTCCCGCCCCCCCCCCCCCCACAGGTCGCCTCAACAGGCGACGGGAGGGGCGACCTGGGGGGGGGGCACGCGTCGGAGCAGCCGCCCCTGGTGCAGCCGCCCCTGGAGCAGCCGCCCCTGGTGCAGCCGCCCCTGGTGCAGCCGCCCCTGGAGCAGCCGCCCCTGGTGCAGCAGCCACTGGTGCAGCCGCCCCTGGTGCAGCCGCCCCTGGAGCAGCCGCCCCTGGTGCAGCAGCCCCTGGAGCAGCCGCCCCTGTGCAGCCGCCCCTGGTGCAGCCGCCCCTGGAGCAGCCGCCCCTGGTGCAGCCGCCCCTGGAGCAGCCGCCCCTGGTGCAGCCGCTCCTGGACCTCAGCAGCCGCCCCTGGCCCCTGGCCCCTGGAGCAGCCGCCCCTGGACGCCGCGCCGCCGCCCCTGGACCCGGTGCCGCCGCCTCCCTGCAGCCCTGTGCGCCCCGTGCGCCCTGCTGCGGGTACAGCAGTGGGGGGGAGGGGATTTGCCATCCCCCTGCTGCAGTTGCGGCAGTGGGGGGAGGGGACCTGCAGCACCAGCCCTGCTGCGGCCCGCGCGCCCTGCTGCCCTGTGCGCCCCGTGCGCCCTGCTGCCCTGCTGCCCTGTGCGCCCCGCGCGCCCTGCAGCCCTGTGCGCCCCGCGCGCCCTGCTGCCCTGCTGCCCTGCTGCCCTGCTGCCCTGTGCGCCCCGTGCGCCCTGCTGCCCTCTGCACGCGCCATGCACAGCACCCCCCCCCCCCCCCCCCCCCCCCCCCCCCCCCCCCCCCCTTCTCCTCCATCCCCTGCGGCAGGTGCAGCAGTGGGGGAGGGTATGGGGGTGGCGGGTGTGTGGCATCCCCTGCTCCTCCTCCTACTCCGTCTCCCACTACTGCAGCTGCCGCTGAGGGGGGTGGGTGTGTGTGAGTTGACGGAGTAGTGCTAGGGGGTGGAGTGTGAGTGAACCTAGGGGTGCAGCAGGGGGTGTGTGAATGGGGGGTGCGGCAGTAGAGGGAGGTTGGGTGGAGGTAGCCGTCGTGTTGCTAGCAGTGCCAGTAGTCCGGAGGTGCGCTTCCGGTAGCCCAGTGATGCCGCTGCGCCAGTCGCCCGTGGGTCTGTTGCTCCTGCTGCTCGTCTTAGCCGCGGAGCCAGTTACTCCTGTAGTCCGGAAGTGCGCCTCCGGTAGCCACAGTGCGCGCCGCTCCTGTTGCCCGTGTGTCTGCAGCTTCCACCGTTGCCTCCTCTCTCCTCTCCTATTAGTCTAGCCTCCTCCTCCTCACTTGCCCTCTGTGATAGCCTCTAGCTTTACTTATTTATTATGAACTTTAAACTGTTACTTTTTGTACTTGTGCTCAGAATGTGTGGTGACATTGTGATCCACCCTGAGCTTGCTTTGCTTTGCTTGTTGTGCTGATCATACCCCACTTTGACTATGGGGGTGTGTCAGAATATTATGTTTCTCTAGTCTGCAGTGGGGTACTCTGTAGTGAGTACAACCCTGTTAGGGTTTGCTATATGTATCCCAATGCTTTCTAGTGCAATCATTCCTTTCTCACTTATTTCTTTCGTCAATCCTTCTCACAGCTGGAGCTGGAGACCCTGGAGCTGGAGGTACTGGCACTGGGGGTACCGGTGCTACATGCACTGTGCAGCGGCGACCGTTTTTCATTTCGCCGCCACCGTTGTCTCTGCCGCCACCTGACTCGGTCCTTTGCCAGGCTCTTAGTCTCCCGTCTTCTACTGGCCTTCCTCCTAGCTTACAGGGTCCACCGCCTTACCAGTTGCAGCCACAGTTACAGCCAGACAGACAGACAGACAGACTCTTTTACAGAGCGCTGTGAGCCTGAGTCTCGTCCTGCCTCGCCTGTTTGCACTGGTTGTCGTGTTCCTCGTCCACATCCTCCTCCTGTCCCCGGCACTCACATTATGGCACTTCGTCCTTCCACTGTTCCACTGCGAGTTCCCCTGCCGCCTCCTCCTCCGTCCTCTCTTCCTGCCGTTCTTGACCCTGAGTCTGACTTAGCTCGTGCTGCCAGTCCTACTGTCCCTCGTCTTCTAGCCACTGTTTTCACTGACCCTTCGTTTGAGTCCGATGCTGCGTCTGCCCTAGTTGCTGAGCTTGTTGACTTTGCTGCCGCCTGTCGTCTCGACTACGCCACTAGTCTTGTTGCTGAGTCTGAGTCTGACTGTCCTCCGTCCGTCGGGGGTGAGTGTGCTCTTGGCACGGACATCCTTGAGGACAGGCAGGAGAACTTTGAATGTCTTGCAGCTGCTGTACCTCATCTCGTGGCCATGCTACTTGCACCAGAGGGAGACCCGGATGCACCAGACATCCTGACCCCGCGCGCTTACGCAGAGGCGATTACGGGTCCCTACTCCTCTCAGTGGCAGACAGCCATGGACGCAGAGATGGCATCCTGGAAGTCCACAGGCACCTACGACGACGCCGTTCTCCCTTCTGGGGCGAACATAGTCGATGGCATGTGGATCTTCCGGGTGAAGCAGCCGCCGGGTTCTCCTCCTGTCTTCAAGGCTCGTTACGTTGCACGAGGCTTCAGTCAGCGACAGGGAGTTTACTTCTTTCAGACCTTCTCCCCTACCCCGAAGATGACCACTCTTTGGGTGTTGTTGCACGTCACAGCTTAGCGTGGTTACGAGCTGCACTCTCTTGACTTCAGCACAGCTTTCTTGCAGGGCAGCCTGCACAAGGAGATTTGGCTGCGCCACCCACCTGGCTTCACTGGATCGTTTCCTTCAGGTACCCAGTGGAGCCTCAGGCGGCCAATCTACGGTCTCCGCCAGGCGCCTCGCGAGTGGCACGACACACTAAGGACTACGCTTGCGGCACTTCGGTTTGCTACTTCGACTTCTGACTCGTCGCTGTTTCTCCGCACCGACACTTCGCTGCCGCGGTTCTACGTCCTCGTATACGTCGACGACTTGGTCTTTGCCACTGCTGACACTTAGGCACTGCCCCTTGTGAAGTCGGAGCTATAGAAGAAACACACCTGCACTGACCTGGGTGAGCTGCGCAGCTATCTTGGCTTGCAGATCACCCGGGACAGAGCACGGCGCACCATCACCCTGACTCAGTCACACATGGTGCACCAGGTCCTTCGGCGATTCGGCTTCCGGTACTCCTCGCCACAGTCCACTCCTCTGCCTACCGGTCACTCGCTCTCAGCTCCACCTTCGGACAAGTCCGTAGAGCCGAGTGGCCCGTATCCAGAGCTTGTGGGCTGCCTCATGTACCTGATGACTTGCACTCGACCTGACTTTGCTTACCCTCTTAGCATCCTGGCACGCTACGTTGCGCCCGGGAGACACCGACCAGAGCACTGGGAGGCCGCTAAGAGGGTGTTGCGCTACTTGTGCAGTACTTCGGGCATGGGTCTCGTGCTTTGAGGACGGGGTCCAGTTGTCCTCACTGGTCACGCGGACGCTTCTTGGGTTGACGACTTGGCTACGCAACGGTCGTCACAGGGTTACACCTTCAGTCTTGGCTCCGGCTCTGTTTCTTGGCGGTCTACCCGCTCGTCTTCTGTTCTCAGTACCATTTGTGAGGCTGAGACCTACGCAGGGGCCATGGCTGCACAGGAGTTACGCTGGCTCACTTACCTGCTGACCGACTTGGAAGAGCGGCCTTGTTCTTCTCCAGTTCTGTACGTAGACAACAAGGCCATGATTGCCTTGTGTCAGGAGCACAGACTGGAGCACAGAACGAAGCACATCGCTCAGCGTTACTTCCTTGCTCCAGAGTTGCAGCAGCGTGGTCAGCTTCGTCTTGCTTACGTGGCCACTCGGGCCAACACTGCTGATATATTCACCAAGGCACTTCAGTCTGGTGATCATCAGCGTTTCTGTACTGTCTTAGGCCTTGTGCCTACTTTGCCTCACTTGCTCACTGCGTGACTTTGCTTGCACTGTGATCTCTATATATATACCTGCATGCTAACACTTGTTTGGTTATGATCACTGTACTGTTTGTTCTCTTTTATATAACTCAGCATGTGAACTGGCCTTGTGGCCATTTGTTTGTGCTCGAAATGTGTGGTGACTTCGTGATCCACCCTGAGCTTGTTTTGCTTTTCTTGACTGGTCTTGTGACCACTTGTTCTCCCCCACTTTGCCTAGGGGGGTGTGTCAAAATGTTATCTAGCTTACTTTGTATAGACTATAGTGGGGTAGCCCATAAGGGGTACAACCCAATTAGGGTGACTACTTGTACCCATTTCTTTCATAGTTCATTCATTCTCGTTCTAGATTCTAACATACACTCTACACCCCATCGGTAACAGCATGCAGAAGAGTACCAAGTGACCGTGTTTTTTGTCTCGAATTCAAGGACACACATCTCTTCTCTTCCCAACTCCAAACAAAACTCATTGACGCCACCTTTGTACATGACACATCCTGGGCTAAGCAGCAGCATCTGAGGGTTTCCCGGCAAGGATAAGCGAGATCTCGAGGCCTCTGGAGAAGGCCTGGTTGAAGACAAGGCGGGTCTGGAAGGTGGAGAAAAAGGGGAACCAGGAGAGCACTGCGACTGGCAGGAAGATCATCCCCCCCATGATTGCATCGTACACCCGTGCAAGGGTGCGCACCTGCCTCCACCACCACAGCCGCTTGTTGTGCACGGGCCGCAGCGCTATAATCACCTGCCGTACAGTCACAATGCAGGGGTGGACGGAGGCAAGATGGGAGAGTTGGGCAGGGGTGGGGGAGGGGGAGAGAGAGGGGGTTAGCACAAGAAAGAGAGGGGGAGCGATACACAGAGAGAAAGAGAGAAAGACAGTGCAAAGAGAGAGAGCACAATATAGCGCAACAGAGACAGGACACAGACCTGAAGGAGGCCCCAGCCGGTGAGTGGGATGAAGAGGAAGATGATGGAGCAGAGGTCACCGAAGGTGAGCGAGGTGACAGTGACACAGACAGCAATGCCAGTCACGAAGAGCACCGCCGCTGTGATCTGCAGCAGGCGGATGGGCAGCTGCGCCTCCCACGCCCGCGAGAAGTTGAACACCTGGAGGGGTGGGGTTGTGAGGGTTAGGGGAAGAGGGAGGTGGGTTGAAATTCGAGTAGACTCAAAAGGGCCTTTGAGTCAAGCGAGGGTGACGGTGATGAGCATGGCAATGGCCTAGGAATGAGTGAGAGGAGGTTCAGCCTAGGAAGGCAAGCAGGAGATGGTGGTGGAGGGAAGACTCTAAGGCTGGAGCGAGCAGGGTCTGAGTCTGGAGCTGGAGCTAGGGCTGAGGCTGAGGCTCAAACAGAGGCTGAGGCTGCTGCTGTTGCTGGCGGTGGTGTGAGTGCAAGCGATGGATGGCCAGCTGAAGCGAGCAGGGGCGATGAGGCAGGGTGAGGGCACCAAGAGATGTGGCAATTCGTTTCTCTCTCGACTTACCCAGAAGACAAAGGCGACGACGACAAAGATGATCCAGGCATACACATACACCTGGCAGCGGGCAGTAAGGGAAAGTGGCAAGGAGAACAGAAGGAGAGTGGCACGGGGATGGTAGAATGAGCGAGGAGGAGGGAGGCTGGCAATGGGTACACTCAGATGAATGTGACGTAGAGGCCTTTGGTGGCGATGGTATGCCTTAAACTCGCAGAACATATGTCTTGTGTGACAGTATGCACTGTGACTGTCCGCAGTGTGACAGTACGTGTGGATGGCAGTCCACGCCACGGTGGGATGGGACTACATCAGGACAGATGCCACACAGCGCGAGAGCACTCACCAGGATGCTGGTGTTGCTCTGAGCGATTTTGAGCTGGTACACGATGCCATAGGGCACGAAGAAGAAGCGTGGTGACTACCGAGTCATTTTTAAAGTAAAAAATCATTGCGAGTCGACTAAAAACTCACGAGGATACTGGTGTTTCCCTGGGCGACGTTGAGCTGGTAAACGATGCCATAGGGCACAAAGAAGAAGCGCAGGTTGAGCACCACCTGGATGATGCGGCTGCGGATGCTGCGCACGTGCTCCTGCCAGCACCAAGGGCGGGATGGGCGGGATGGATGGTATGGGCGGGATGGGCAGATTCGGATGGGAGGGTTTAGCCAAAGGAGCACGTGAAAGCGTAGAGAGGAGAAGCACGTGGAGGCCTAGCCTAGGAAGAGGACGACATGGAGGCACGGCATGCCCGGATGGATGCACTTGGCAGAGACATGCACAGGTGCATTCACGAGCGCGGCAGAGCAGCAAGTGCGTAGAGGGGCCAGCATGCAGTCCGTGTAAGTGTCCGGGGGAGATTTTTGAGAGTAAAAAAAAATCTCCTGTCAATGAGTGAAATGGTTTCGCTGTCTTTGCGTCTCACCACGACTCACCGTCTCCTCTTCCCACCACGACTCACCGTCTTCTCTTCCCACCACGACTCACCGTTTTCTCTTCCCACCACGACTCACCGTCTCCTCTTCCCACCACGACTCCCAGCTCTGCTCGCCCTTCACGCCCACGCCACCCTTGTACCACAGCCACTCCACCCAGTCCTCAAAATCCGCTACCGTCCTGCCATGGTCAAATCACAGCAGTACAGCAGGAACGGGGAACGAAGATATGAGCAGGAAGGGAGCAGGAATGATTATCCCACAATAACGAGAAGGACATGGAAGAGGAGAAAATTGAGGGAAAAACGGAAGGGGAGGAAAATAACCACGAGGAAACAGGAGAGTAGAAAGCGGTGGTTACTTTTGCCATTCGAAGCCGGCAGGGTTGAAGATGTAGGGCGCGTAGCACCAGGAGAGGGCGAGGAACCAGGAGGAGACGGTGATGAGAATATAGACCAGCCCGGAGCTGGTGTCCCCATACAGCATGTACACTGTCAGCAGCATTATGGCCTCTATGCTGCGCGGGGAGAGGAGGGGGAAGGAGTGGGAGCGGGAGAGACAGTGTGAGTAGCCATTGACAGAAAGGGAGATGGGTAGGGACATACGGATGAGGGAGGAGCTGGTACCCCCGTACAGCATGTATACTGTCAGCAGCATTATTGCCTCTATGCTGCGCGGAGAGGGAAACACATCACGAGTAGCAATGGACAGACAGGAGAGGGGTGGGGTAAGTGGGATGATAGAGGAGCTGCCCCCATATAGCATGTATACCGTCAGCAGCATTATTGCTTCTATGCTGCCAAGGGGTTGGGAGGAGGGGGTGGGAGACAATGTGAGTATCTGCGGACACTGGGAGAGGGGTGGGGAACGACAGATGAGGGGGGAGCTGCTGCCACCCTACAGCATGTACACCATCAGCAAAATCCTCCTCCGCCCCCCTCTTCCCCCTCCACCCATCCCCGCCCTTCCCCTTGTGTTTACGCACCCGTATGTGAAGTGTGAGCGCGAGTAGAGGCGGTAGTTGTCAGCGAACTTGATGTGGCGAACGACAAAGCCCCGGCCAGTGGCACGGTACTTGGCCCCGCCGTGCAGCAGCGTGCGGAGGAAGTAGTGCGCACGCGTGCCCAGGGAGAAGGTGAAGAAGACAGACGCCAGCTGCAGCTGCATCGTTATGAAACTCACCACCGCCTGGTGGGTGGGGGAGCAAGATGGTTGAGAAGGAGGCAGCAGCAGCAGCATGAATGCCAACACCTGGGCTGGTGAGTAGACTGAGAACTCTTGCAAAGACAGACTCACTTACCCGCAGAAATCCTTGTTCGAGGATGAAGCCCATGATCATGGGCACAGCAGTGAAGAATCCCGCTTGGATGAGGAACTGCGTGTTGATGGCTGATTCCAGGGCCAAGTTCGCCACGCTCTCACTCTGCGATGAGAGAGTTGCACCCACTCCTGATAGGCTCTGCAGAAGGGCCGGTCAGTTGCACAGACGTGACAAGTAGGGAGAAACTCAGGGGATAGACGGGGGACGATAGAGTAGTGAGGTGGATGTGGTGTGAGTTTCTTAATGGGGGAAACGTAGGGGTGTGGCGAAGAGGCTTACCAGATAGACTCGTCCGTAGAGGAATAGGAAGGCACAAAAGGACGTGAGCTGCAGTGGGGGGCAAGGGGGTGGGAGGAAGGGGGTGGGGGGAGGGAATGGGGAGGGAGGAGCGGACACACAGGGAGCGTGGCTTGAGGAGCCAGTTGATTGGCGAAACATAGCGGGCAACAGTTATATTAAAGAGCAGCTTTAGAACCGTCGGTGCAAAAAGAGCAGTGCAGACTGGTGATATGGAGAGGACAATTATTAACAGTGCGGATTTCCCTTTCAGGGATTGCAGGTAAGCCATTCTATGCTGTGGTTGTAGAGAGGTGCAGAGCGGTTTATGGTGGTATGGTAGCTTACAGCGGTGCAGAGGAAGAAGCCAACAGAGGTGAAGTAGAAAGAGAGGAGGCGATAGAAGTCGAAGAGCTGACCCAACCGACAGATGTCCCGTGATAACACCTGCATGTGCATATACACATGCTCGCACACACCCACGGACATGCATACATGCATAGCCACACATACACACAGACACACGCGCATACACAGCGGAGACATGCATGTGCATGCATATTCCACTCCACACAGGGTCATATGCAAGCACGCAGACACACAAATGCTGGTCGTTTAGCTCCCCTTCGATCAAGCCAAGCCAAGGCAAAGCTCAATGTTCGAAAACTACGAGATCAGAAACAAGCGAAGGGCCAACACCAACATGTGCTGGTGATGCATGCATGCATGTGCCACCCTGTGTTTTGCGCTGCATCGTTTGAGGCATCTCAAGTGACGAGCAGGTGCAAACACACGCGCGCACGCATGCACACACGCGCACACACACGCACCTGCTCTCCATTGCCACTGGCGACCTTAGCCTCAAAAAGAGCGATCTGGTTCAGCCCCACGTCACGCCCCTTGCCCACCTGGCAGTCACACACACACAGAGAGGGATGGCGGGAGGCACAGGTGTGGAGATGGGGAGGCACAGGTGTGGAGATGGGGGAAGATGAGGAGAGGGGAACGCACAGGAATGACAATGGTGGAAGTGGGGTGAAGCATCTTTCCCATGAGGGTTTTTCAAGCTGAAGAGATCTATGGCATGGAAACTAGGATCGCTGTTCAAGTCAGGAGACATGCAACATGGAACGGCATGGCAGGATAGAGCATGCATTGTTGCACTGCACGCATGTTACAGCACTGATTGAGACCACTCACTTGTATGTACTCGTGATGAGTCACATTGCCCTGCCTCAGTGTCGTGTTAAAGCCTGGAGTGAGCAGATGGTGGACGAGGTGAAGGGAGGACAAAGGCATGAGGAGGTAACCACATGAACTCATGAGTGCGATTCGCTTTCTCAAGTGACACCTCCACCAGATGGCACTTGCATGCAGACACGTGTGCATGTGGGGCACAGCCACGACGAACGGCTACACTACCACTGCTTGACTGTCTGCCCAGGTGACACCTTCACCAGGTGCCAGCTCCACGGGATGCATGTGGTGCTCTTCACATATTTTACCGCATGCCACTCACCAGCAAAGATGTCTTCACTGATGTTGATGGTCTTGGACGCCTTGCTCATGCCGCCGCGCGTGACGTGGAAGAGGCGGTCAAACACGTCTGGGTGCCCGTAGTGCATGCGCACCCTGCGGGGCGGAGGGAAGGGCGCAGGTAGGAGCAGAAGCGAGGGTGGAGGAGAGGGGGGAGAGCAAAACGGGTTACGATTTCCCTTTGGGGTTACCAGATCCTTTCAGAATCATCTGTGATCCTGCCACAATGACTACAAAGCACAATGAGACAGAGGAGGTATACGTAATAGTGATAATGTGAAAGGCTGCATCCTGTGATGTTCAGCATGATGATGCCTTACATGCTCGACAGCTGAGCATCAAAATTACTTGCACGCTAGCTAGTGGTGACAGCTAAGCATGACACTTACTTGAGAGGGATGGCAAGGAAGCGTTGGCCGAGGGTGACGAAGCTGGTCTCCTGGTTGGACATGAACCATGCCAACGAAGACACACTGTGCACGGGGGGGAGGAGCGAAGGAACACAAGCCAGTGAAGGGGCGAAACAAAGGCTCATTTCTGCTTGTCTCGTTCAAACAACAGGGTGAGTATATTAATTTCCAGAGGTCACCTCGTCACTCCTACCCACTCACCATACCAAACCCCCTCACGGCCACCCACCTGCCGGTGAAGATGTGCTCTCTGACGCCGAGGATCGACGGCTTCCTGAGCCCGTGCTTCTTGGCAAACTCCTGCAGCAGATTCCGCATCTTGAGCGTCTCCTCAAAGTAGTTGTCCTGGTTCATGTCAATCGTCTGCAGCGCCTCCCCCCGCGTGAAGATGATGGCGTGGTTCTGGTTCTCCGGCTTGCCCTCGCCCAGCTTCGCTGGCCCCGGCAGCTTCACCTTGTAGATGTCTTGCTCAGAGCCAAACGTGTCCACCTTCACCAGCCGTGAAAAGAACTCCGTTTTGGGGCGTGCGTCTGGTCTGCTGGGGTCGGCTGGCAGGGTCACCACCTCGTCGATGTATGCCACTCGCAAGGCCTCGTGCCTGGGTGCGGGGGTTGCGGTGGGGAGGGGGGGTTCCGGGAAAAGGGGTCAATAGAGAGACTACTCACACCCTGACAGCTGGGGTTGTCTAGTAGGTTGACTACCTCGTCGATTTATGCCACTCGCAGGGCGAATTGTATGTGTGTGAGGGAGGGGGTGTGGGAGGGGGTATTGAAAGGATCAGGACTAGCTGGAGTTGGGTAGCAGGGTGATGTAAAATCCATCCCGTACGCTCTTACCACAACATACCACCGCATTGCTCTCTCCACCCCTCTCCATCACACTCCACCACATTCCACCATACTCCGCCGCACTCCACCGCACTCACTCCTTCATGAGGTTGAAGATGTCAGCAGCGCGCTGGTCCTTATCAGCCTTCTGCTTGCCATAGATCTGGCAGGTAACCACGTATGTGAACTTCACGTCCGCCAGCTCCTTGGGCTCCACCTTCGCCAGATACAGCCTGTCCGCCGGGTCCAATGGCAGCCCGTCCGCCCCCAACTCTAGGTCTGTGGGGTGTAGAGGAAAGAAAGGGAGCGGGGAGTGGTGGAGAGGGGGAGAAGAGAAAACTCTTGAGACGTTTTGAAAAAAGCAGCCCGTCTGCCCCACAGACCTGGGGCGGAGCGGGGAGGGGTGGCGGGAAGAGATGGGGAGGGGGATAGACGGGGTGGGAGAGAAGGGGAAGAGGAGTGACGGGAACGGGGAGGGAAAAGGGAGGAGAAGGTGAAGGAGTGAGCAAACAGGTGAGGATTCAGAAACTAGCAAGAGGAAAAGAAAGGGAAGGAGGATGGGGGTCTGCATGAGTCTTTGACCAGAATTCTTATACGTCCTCCCTTGCAGGCGGCATTCAGCATTTTTATGCAGCCCTGCAGCAACCTAAATGCTGATTGTGGTAGTGCTACCAAAGAAAAGTCAGAAGAATAAAAAATAAAATAGCATCTCGATGTGTGCCAGCAATCCAGCTGTAACCGTCTCTTCAACCGACTTTATTTATTACTCTTTCACCTGTGGAGTTTGGCGTTTCCATGTAGGCGAGCAGTCTGAGCGCGCACGATGCAGGCGAGCATCTAGCTTGAACCATGCCATACTTGATTGATCGTTATTTCCACTACCTCACCTGTGGAGTTTGGCGTTTCCATGTAGGCCAGCAGTCTGAGCGCCCTGTGGTAGTACATCATGCCTCGCACGGTGCGAGCGAGTGTCTAGCTTGAGCCCAACAGTACGTGAACCCCCCATTCACCCTGCCACTCACACACATGCACTCACCTGTGGAGTTTGGCGTTTCCATGTAAGCGAGCAGTCTGAGCGCGCGGTGGTAGTACATCATGCCACGCACGGTGCGGGCGAGGGTCTGGCCACGGTACGACGCCCACATGCGCAGCTCCTTGATGTCGTCCTTCGCCCTCAAGCGCACCTCCAGCTCCTTCTCTCCCATGCCCACCCGCTGCAGGAAGTTGGCCCACTCGTCTGCAGTGCGGGGTTGTTGTGATTAGGATGAGCGGTGGCTGACTGGCATCAGAAACCAGGGCGACGGAAGCAATATGCAGAAGTACGTGCTGCAGTGGGCAGTGGGCAGCAGGCAGTTGGCAGTGGGCAGGGGGAAGCGGGCAGTGGGCAGCGGGCGGTGGGCAGTGGGCAGTGGGCAGCGGGCGGTGGGCAGTGGGCAGTGGGCAGTGGGCAGTGGGCAGCGGGTGGTGGGCAGTGGGCAGTGGGCAGTGGGCAGTGGTAGTTGGAAGCGCACAATGGGAAGTGGGCGGTTGCAGTGTGCAGTGCGCCCTGTGCCTGCACGAGCAGAGCAGCCGTCCAGACATCTGGCATGTGGGCACAAGAAGTGGCATGTGGCATGTAAAACGTGGGCTCAAGCGGCATGTGGGGCGTGGGTGGGCGCACCTGGGAAGATCTTCTGGAGGTAGAAGAGGGTGGAGATGCCATCCTCGTTGGGCTTCACGAGTTCTGCCATGGAGTAGGTCACAATCTCGCTGTAGTATGGTGTCATCACACTGGGATGGGAGAGGGGGGGGTATAGGGAGGTGGGGGCATGTGGAGGAGGGGAAATTGGTATGAAGTAGGTCACAATCTCACTTTAGTATGGCGTCATCACACTGGGAAAGGGGCAGGGAGAATGGGGCACAGATGGGCGAGGGGCGGGGGTGGGGAGGAAAGGACCTCCCTGCAGGTAAGGCCTCAAGAGCATATATAGAAGAGGCACAGCGCCAGCCAGGACAAGAAGCTACCAAGCAGTCCCCCAGCCGTACGAGACTAGAGGGAGCCACCTCGACTCAACGTACCAGAATGGGATAGTGTCCACAACTTAAGGCGCGTCGGGCATGTGCATGTGCAGCGAGATTGTGAAGAGCTGTAGGCGGTTGGCATGCCTTCAGGCACCTCAAGGAATGTACAGGTATGAGGCACACGACTTACCAAACAGTCACTCCATCGTACCAGAAAGGCAGCGTGTCAGCGACTTTGGGTGCATCAGGCATGCGCATGTGCAGCGAGTTGGTGAAGAACTGCAGGCGGCGCCGCGCCTCCAGGTTGTGAGGCACATCCATGGCCGACTCCTTGATCGCCAGCAGCAGATGCAGCCGCTTCACCGCCGCCCGGTTCGCCGGCCATGCCACTGCCGCGAACAGGCAGTACGACTGTGGCTTGCCTGATACGTCCTCCAGGCTTGCTCTGGGAGGGCAAGTAAAGGAGGCAGGAGGAGTTTTTTAGGTGACACACAAATCGTCACAGGCGGTACGACTGCGGCTTGCCTGATAATGCACCCATGGTTGCTTTGGAAGAAGGACGACAGGAGGTAGGAGGAGCGAGGCTGGTTGAAGCCTGATGGGAAAGGAGGAGCAGACTTCCTCCCAGCTTCTCATCCCCCCTCACCTCACATAAAGTTGATTTGGGACCACAAGAACTACCAAACTGCCCCAACCCGCCATCCTACCAGAAATTCGGGAGACTTATCAAACTGAAACCCTGAGGCACGCACCGGTGGTCAGGGGAGAGGAAGTCGAACATGACGGTGTCGTAGAGCGCCTGCAGCGCCGGCCATAATTTTTGAGCCTTATCAAACTGCCTCCAACATGGCGCAACCAACCAGAACTCTCTAGCCCTAGAACCGGCACGCACCGGTGGTCGGGGGAAAGGAAGTCGAACTTGACCGTGTCGTAGAGCGCCTGCAGCGCCTGCACTGCTGCCCGCTGCGTCATCTCGTTCTGGTCCTGGATCTGAACCAGGGGGGAAGCGAGGAGGGTGGTTAAGTGGGGGGAGCGAGGGAGGAAGAGGGGTGGTGGGAGGTTGGGAGGAGGACGGAAAGAGGAGTAAGGGTTCTGGGTTGAGGGTGAGAATGGCAGCAGACAGCTGAGCAGCATGGCAGTAAGCTTGGATGGGTGGTCGAGGATGACAGGCAGGAATGCAACGGTTTCCGAGTGGGTAACAGGAATCACTGGAACAATGCATCTAGGCAATAGTCAGCAGGGCAGGCAACAATCGACCAGCAGGGCAGGCAGCAACTGACCAGCACGGCAGTGAGCTTGGAGAGGCGGTCGAGGATGACAGGCAGGGCGGAGAAGCGGAAGGTGGTGAGAAGGCTGCCGTTGTTCCCCTCCACCTCCAAATCGTCAAACAGCCGGTTGATGATCCGCGCCTCGTACACTCCACTCCCCGCCTCCTGGGTAGCAGCAGCTGCAGTGCCAGTGGTGCCACCGGTGCGGCTGGGTTCGACAACGGAGAGCAGGAAGGGGCGCAGGCTCTGGTAGGCCTCGAGCACGGCGCAGCGCATGTACTCGTCGGCCGTCACCTTGCGCCACACGGCCGCTTGGGACTCCTTGCGGCCTGACGCCTCGCCCACTGCCAAGAGGATCTGTGCAAGGTGATGGCCAATTAGAGCACACGATAGGGAGGGAGGGAGAATGAGGGCAGCGCAGCGCATGTACTCGTCCGCTGTAACTTTGCGCCACACCGCCGATTGCAACTCCTTTCGGCCTGATGCCTCGCCACTGCAAGGAGGATATGTGGTAGAAAGGCATGTACTCGTCAGCCGTCAGATCTGCCAAAGCAGCACATGCTGTTTCTTGATGAATGTTTGTCACAGTGACAGATGGTAATTGCTTCCATCCGATGCAGTACCTGGTTGGCGAGGAGGAAGAGCGGCCACTGCACCACGGTCACGTTGGAAGGCAGGGCGGGCATGATGAGCAAATCGTACTCCCTGCACGCACACAAAGAGAGAGCAATCGCGGAGACGAAGACACAGAGGAAGTTTGTGCAAGATAGAATCCGTTTTGGCGTCTCGGCATGGTGGATGGATGAATGGATGGATCGATGGATGGAGGCACATCACCACTTTTTTGTGAAGGTAGGTTGACCTAAGGAGCAGGCAGCTGCAGAAGCAAGAAGCAGCACTTTTGAGACGTATGGAAAGGCAGTAGGAACTTGGCAGGCAGGAGGAGGAGACAGGAAGCAGCAGCACATCCCCACCTGTCGGAGAGGTAGTCTTCCTCTCGCAGCAGCCGAATAATCTCGTTCCATGCGATGGCAAATTTGCACGCCTCCCGTCGAGATGACAGCAGCAGCTCGCTGCCGCTCGCCGGTTGCTGCGACCCCAGTGGTTGGAAGCGGGCAGACGAGCGCAGCGACGTGGAGCTGAGCCAGGGGAGGGGGTGGAGAAGGGGAGGTTGGTTGGGGGTTTGTGTGCGTGTTTGACTTTTGAGGCGCCTCAAAAGTCAGCTCCCTGCCGCTCGCCAGTTGCTGTGACCCCAGCGGCTGGAAGCGGGCAGACTAGCGCAGCTATGTGGAGCTGAGCGAGGGGAGGGGGTGGAGACGCGGAGGTTGGTTGGGGGTTTGTCTGTGTGTTCGTGTGTGATTTAAGTAGAGGCAGAGGGGTGGAAGAGAAGAAAAAGTTGATTATAGATAATGGCAGATGAATCGTAACGCCACCGAACTATATGAGAGGATGGCACGGCACCCCATGTGATGGCATTCGCCTGGCCTTCCACCTCACCTGGCACTGAATTGAAGCCCTCTATTTCTTGCATCCATCCTCGCTACTACATCCTCTAAGAGGGGAATATAGTGAGTTAAGAGGCACTCACCGCGTGCGGTTGAACTTGTTCTGGTGGTGCACTGTGTTCATGAAGGCTGCTGGGAACGAGCGGAAGCGCGCCCGCAGCATGGAGAGCGTGCGGATCTGATACCATGTCCAGGCATATGGAGCAAGTGATCGGGAGGGGAGGAGACGAGGAGATGGTGCAGCGAGGAAGAAGACAGGTAGGTTTGAATGGATTGAGGATTCGAGAAACGAGCAATGATGTGCACAGAGGAAGTATGCAGTCGTGCTACACTGTGATTTGTGTTGAGATGTGTTAACTAGAATTGGAGTAAAAAATAAATGATGTGTGGCGCTGTAACAGTTACAGTACAACCATTCGGCTTCTCGCCTTGTGAATGTTAGCACCATGCTTACAACAACCCAGAACGAGTCCAGCTGATTTTTCAGATCAATGCCTCATGCCACCTTCTTATATTTCCCCAAAGCACGACCTGCTTACCCCCCTTGTGTCTGCTTTTGCCAATCAGCTGTTCACCTTATCTGTGATTGCAACAATTCCCATGCCTATCTTTCCCAGTGCTTACCTCGTTTTGAGACGTCTCAAAATCAATTCCCATGCCTATCTTTCCCACGTCTCAAAATCAATTCCCATGCCTATCTTTCCCAGTGCTTACCTCCCCCAAATGCCACCACGCGCCAATGAGAGTGCTGAGAATGGCAGAGAGCACGGTGTACCAGATCTGTGCGTCTATCAGGTAGATCTGGCAGAGGGGCACGGAGGAGGGGAGTTAGGGACGCGGGCAGGAGGGAGAAGGGAGAAGGAGGTTAGGGCGGGAAGAGGAGAAAAAACGTTAGGGATGGGGAAGTATTAGGGAGGGAATTAGGGCCGACCTGCAAACGGGCCGTGTGTGGTCTCCCAGACACAGCAATTAGAAGTGTTACTAGTGGACTAAGGGTACGTTCTTGGCTGGTGTCAGGCTCGCTGACACAAGGCAAATGGACGATTTCGATCATTCCACGCCATCATCGTCAAAATCTACCGAAATCCCAACCTTTCAGAGCTTGGTGTCAAGATTCTAGACACCAGCCAAGAACGAATCCTAAGCATTTCGGGTAGTCTCTGTTAATCACAAAAAGATGGATGGGGATGGTATGGGCGGCATGTGGCATACCACGAAGACTGGTGCCCAGATGGAGAGAAGCGTGAGAGCATTGTAGTTGCCTGGTCAAAAGGAGGGAGGGGCGGAGAGAAGAATACAGAGCAAGAGGAAAAAAATGCACAGTAAGTAGCAGTACTGACACTCAGAATGGCGTGTCCCCTCCCTAGGAACCCCATGGGCACACAATTTAAAGCCAGTGCAGTAGAGGAGAGTCTGTTGCACTAGCAGTGGCAAGCCTGCTAGGCACATACTTGTAGCGACAAAAGACGTACTGGCAGAGACGAGGTCCTTCCAGCGGTACTTGAGGTGCTTGAAGCCAATGATGTAGCGCGTGGGGCCCACGAGCGGGAGGATCTGGAAGTAGTAGCTGAAGAGGCACTTGCACAGCAGCAGCACCACCCAGAACAGCGAGTACCTGCATGTGGGCAATGCAAGAACATATGAACACGCAGCATGTGTGCATGCACAGGTAGGCGAGTTGCATGGAGGAAGGGGAGTAGGGGGGAAGAGGGAGGGATGGGATTGAAGGAAGGAAAGAGAGACAGAGCTGGGATGGACAACGGGGGGTGGTGTGATCGTACAATTGTGTGAGAATGTCGGGTTTAACTGTTTCGTAGGGCAATGGGGGCAGGCGGAAAAGCTGATGACGGGGAACGAGATGACTTCTATGGCATGCTTCCGCACTCACAGGAATGTGTCTTTGAAACTCTCGTACATGCCCCTCCCTGTGTACACCTCGTCCTGCTCAGCGACAGAGTCAGAGAAAAGAGGTCACAGGTGATAAGAAACGATGATGATAAAGGGTATTATGGGCATACAGGATGCTACGAGCATGCTTCATGAGACACAGGAATCACCACACGAAGAAGCTGGTGAAACCACTTTCCTGGAAGAACCACCCCAACCACCTGGCTGAACCACTGACCACCTGACAGAACCACTGACCACCTGAAAGAACCACAACCCACCTGCCAGAACTGCACACTAACCTGATAGAACCACTTGACGAACTGGAAGAAGCGGTGGTGGCTGACGCGGTCGAGTTGGGAGCGCAGCGGCGTGACAAAGCGCATGAGCACCGAGAGGACGACAGCTGGGATGACGTAGATGGCTGCTAGCATGAGGAAGAGCGGGCGGTAGGGGCTGCTGAAATCGAAGCCCGACTTGAAATACATGCTGGGGGAGGGGGGTAAGGGGGTGTTTAGGAGAAGAAGGGAATAGAGGGCGAAAGGCGACACTTGAGTCGAGTCACATGACTACAGATGAGGGTAAAGACGGCTTGGGTAACAGGAATGGCAGCGAGCGATGAGGGAGAGCGGGAGGCAGGGGCTGGTGGGGTAAAATGCCTGACTGAAATACATGATGCGGAAGGGGGAACGGGGGGAAGGGGGGCTGAGGGGAGGGGGAAGCGGAAGTGAATGGGAAGAAGCTACATGGTTGACTTTGAAAATAAATAAAGAAAATGAAAAAGGCGAGTAAGTCTCACATGAGGAAGAAGGAGAGGAAGCCTCCCCAGGCGCCGAGCACAGCAAGGCGGAGGAACTTGCGGGAGATGGTCTGCACACTCATGCTGCGGTAGGCTCCGAACGACAGCAGAATGTCAAAAAGCACTGCGGGTGGAAGGGGTGGGGGGCCGTGGAGGGGAGGTAAGGAGTTGCTATGGTATGGACTAATGTGCCTTGACACACTCATGCTGCAGTAGGCTCCGAATGACAGCAGGATGTCAAACAACAGCTCGATGGGGGAGGACGGGTGGGGTGGGGGGGAAGGGAAGGTAAGGAGTTGCTATAGAGTGAGGTGGCTTGAAAAGGCCATGCTGCAGTAGGCCCCGAACGACAGCATGATGTCAAACAGCACTGCATGCAGACAGGATATTGAAACGTGGGAAGGATGAGAAAAGCGGGTGGGGAAGGGGGCAGGTGGGTATTAGTGGTGGTATATGCGACTGAGGTGGCTTAAAACGCTCGTGCTGTGGAAGGCTCCAAACGACAGCTCCAAACGACAGCACTATGTCAATCAGCGCTGCGGACAGGAGTTCGAGACGGGGGAAATGGTGTGAAAGGGGCAGGTGGGGGAGGAGGGAAGAAGAGGGAGGTGGGGTTCAGGAATGGGTCGTTTGAGCGTAGCTATGGAGGAGTGAAGGTCCGTTGAAACGCTTTGCTGTATTACGAATACCTTGAATGGACGCAAAGATGGTGTGCATCGTTAAGGGTGGCCTGAATGGTTTTGCCCCTTAAGAACCTTGCAGGAAGCGGAGGTTGGTGGCGATGGGCAGCAGAGAGCAATCATAAACGCCCGTGGTGCAGTGTGACTGCAGCCTGAAAGGATTCAAAGAGGGCCTGACTGAACGCACGCCTGAATGGGGTGCTCAAGATGAGCGTACCTTGGAAGAAGCGGAGGATGGCAGCCATGGGCACCACAGAGAGCACCTTCATGAGCGTGGTGGACCCGTCCTGCCCGCTGAACGCCACGATTGCCATGCCCTGCGGGATGGTAGCAGGTGAATGGGAGCGTGGGGGGGGAAGACTGGAACTTGGAAGGCCGAAGAGAAGAGCACCTTCATGAGCGTGGTGGACCCGTCCTGCCCGCTGAACGCCACGATGGCCATGTTCTGCATGTGGGTGGGAGCAAGGAAGGCCGGGAGAAAGCTGAGGGCGAGGGAGAGGGTTGGGAGGCTTGAAGGGAGAGCACCTTCCTTCTTGGTAGTCGTGAACTCCTGAAGGGAGTCCTGTCCACTGAGCGGCACGATTGCTCTGGCCTGACGCGAAAATATTTGTAAGATCGTGGAGTGTTAGACGGTTCTAGGCGCCAGTTCAGCAATCTCACATTTTTAAAGGGTTGGTTAGTTTGGGGTTTCTGTGAAAGGGTTGGATTGGAAGCTTCAGGACAAGTGAAGTATGGGGTGCACGAAATGCATGCATGGAGAACAGACCTGGAACATGAGGAGCAGGAAGGCCCACATGCGGTCGAAGCTGCGGTAGAGGTGGAGGAACGAGCGCCACTCCACAAACAGCGTCTTGCTCAGCCGGCTCTTGCTTGAGAAATCCTCTCCCTGCACACACACACACACACACACACACACACACACACCCACACACACACACACACACACACACACACACACACAGGAAATCACAAGCGTGTGGAGCAGTTTGTTTGTGGTTACGAATGGCGTCCAGCACTTCCCTTGATGTGAAGTCTCTCCCAGCAATTAATAACGTGATTACCAGGAACTGTCTTGAGTATCTACTGGCAGGTGAGTCAAAGAAGGGAAGCACAGTATTCAGGAATCATGATAACTGGTGGGTTGGAAGCAAGCTCGTACACGCACGGCACTAACTGACTGAAATTGTGTTGAATCGACTGGGTTTGTCAGGACAGCGATTTGAGGGTTTGTCTTGGTTTTCTGTACTGACCGTTGCGGTTTTGGGGGTTTCCATTTTCTTGCCAGGGTCCTTGCTTTTGACGGGTGGGGGCTTGAAAAACACGTGGCTGGTGCGGATTGGCCAACCCAGCTCAAAGCAGCGCTTGCTCCTGAGAGGCCAGGTGGAGGGGCGTGAAGCAGGAGAAAATAAAGAAGGGGAAGGTGAGGAGACAAGTGGGTGAGTGAGTGAGGAGAAAAAGGGGAAGAGCCGTTGGATGTGAAAAAGCTGAAGAGAAAAGCGAGAGCAGGTCTGGGGGAAGGGGTGGCAAGGAGTGTGTGGTGTGGCAGGGAGGGAGCGAGCAGCAGACCAGAAGAACTCGTTGAAATCGTCGTAGTTGCGCCACGCGGGGTGACCCTTGGCGTCGCTGCCAGCACCCGCATAGTCCGACTCCTGCACGGGGAGGTTGCGGGTTTTACATCACAGAGAGGAAAGGGCAGTACATTGAGGGGGTGGAAAGGACATGGAGTGAGGGGATCCAGCTGTGAGTAACGGGCAGCAGGGTGAATCAGGGCGAGTGAGGGGAGAAGTTGGAAAGGTGAAGGTATGTTCACAGATCCTATTCAACGAAAGAAAGCCCATGCGGGAGATGCTCAAATGTTCCAAAAGCGCCCCCCAAAGTCACTAAAGAGTCGCTCAGATGCCATTCTGTGTTGAAGCCAAGGACCTGTTTGAGCCAAGACGAGCAGCTAGTCTGGTGAGGTCAGCAAACTGACCTGTTTGAGAATTCTGTAAAAGGGCGTGATGACGTTGTTGAGGAAGGCGTACTCGCCCCCCGTGCCCATCATGCGGCTGTGCTCCGCTGCTGTCTTCTGCATCATCCCCGCCAGCTCACTCGCCATCTGCCCATGGGGTTGGGAGGAGCGTGGTGGTGGCCGTGGGGGATAGGGTTGGGAGGACGTGTGTGTGAGTTGGTGGTATAACATAATTTGACTCAGTTGCCATTTAAAGGAAGGCTGTGGAGAGGCCATGGATTTGTGGAGAAGTTGGACGAGAAGGGGACAAGGGGGAGGGGGAAAAGGGGTAGTGGGAGGGGCGCAGGGGAAACAGGGCTATTATCCAAGGTTCAAGGTTTATGCACTGTGACGATCCTGCGAATTGGATGAATTGAGCGACTGATGTGACCAAGAAACTAGCTGGAAAGAGGGTAAGAGAAGGCAGGAGGCATGTATGGTCCCAGAGAAGGGATGAGCATAGCAGCGCTCAACCGATGGCGGAATAAGTTTCACTCTGTCTTCATTACCTGGTGAAAGAGGTAGCAGAGGCACTCTGGGAGGAAGCGCACGTTGGCTGCCTCGCCCCATATGAGCAGGAAAAGGCACGTGTGCAGCATGCGGTGGTCGACCCTGCAGTGCACACACGCACATAAAGCCCCACGCCACACCACACCACACCACACCATAGTCATGATCATTCAACACCAGGACCAGACAGTCATGTGGACCAAAGCGAGCCACGTCAGTGACATTGAGGACATAGGCTTTTTGTTTCTTGAGTGAAGCATGGAGGAAGTCCTACACCCTAAACCCGAAACCCTGGGGGATGTACAGGCACGATCAGAGATGCAGAGTCGGGTTTCAGACCACGTTTTTCGACATGCGATGGCAAATATGAAAAATTCTGGTTCCAGCGCAAGAGGAAGAATGGGGAGGGCGGAGGGAAAGGGGGGGGGGGAGAGGAGGGAGGGTGGGGTGGTTGGGGGGAGAGGAAGGAGGGGGAAGGGAGAGGAAGGGAAGGGAGGAGGGTGGGTTTCAGCAGGGCGAGATCAGGGGTGCGTACGTGAAGTAGGGGATATCCACGTGGAGGTACTGTGCCCAGCGAAGGAAGTTTCCGAGCACCTTCGAGGACACAGAATCAACGGCCAGGTTCATTGCCTGGTGGATGACCGGACGGGGGGCAATGGGAATGCGCAGAATATAATAGAAGGTTGTCATAGCTTGGACCGAGGAACAACCCAGTGAGACCAGAGCAATGTACAAAGTTGTGCAGCAGGGCTCAGAGCACTCAGCAGTAGTAGTAGAACTCACTGATTACAAACCCGAACCTTCCAGGCTGTTCTCACTGTGTGCTTGGTCCGCACCCCTAACCCCTTACCGTGAGTGCTGTCATGCACACGGACACAAGGGACATGAGCGCAGCATCGGGACAGACATGAAAACAGCAGGGCTTGATATTGATATTGACGTGACTCACTGCAGCATCATCGGACATGGAAGCAACAATGGGCGTCCCCTTCTCGTCGTACGTGCGGCTGTTGGCCAGCAGCAGCACGAGGTGCTCCCTCTGGTTCCGCACATTGTCCTCCTGCGGTGGTGTGGCAGAGCAGGGCACAGCACAGTAAATCAGAAGGGACGGAGGATGTTGACGGGTGAAATGAAGGGAGAGGACTGGGAGCGGAAGACAAGCAACACCGAAAAACGTTCAGCAGTCACAATTAGAGATGGCATCACGAAAGTGAGAGGCAGGCGTGCTCACTTGGAAGCCAAAGACGAATTGGAGGTAGTGCAGCATGTCCTTGAAGCGGCCTCTGTTCGGCACTCCTCTTAGGTCGTGGAGCAGCGCGATCGCCCCCCCCACCCGCCTCTTCCACTGCTCATGCCAACACAGTCACATGTTTAGACGTTAGTCATCTCTAGTGTCCTAATGGAGCATTGGATGCAACAGCAGCAGTGTTATTGTGATAACGAGAGGCCAATGTGGTGTCCAAATGCTCTCACTACAATACCACGAATATTGCTCTAGCCAGAGTTGGGAGTGAGGTCAGCTGGTGGTTACATCTGGTAACCACATATTATGTGAGACTCACAGAGCACAAGCATGAGGGTTGGGGGGTCTCACCAGCGGAGCATCAGTGGGAATGGGTGCGTCCAGATCGATCATGTTGAAGTTCTGGCGGGTGAAGACTTGCGTCTTGGCAGCAGCAGCCATCTTATCCTCCCGAATCTCCTGAAATTGGTCAACAACCGAGAAACGTTAGCCATAGGCCTGGAAGGCTGACTAAGGCCGTGCATCCCATGACCGACTCTTGTTCAACATTCCCCCTTCTGACTCCACTCTCCCGATGCGATCCCACTTCCTGTCCTCCAGACCCTATTGTTCGCTCCTCTCTAAAAGGCAATCACAACTGGTCAGTGGCCGTCACATCTCTTTCACTGAGTCGCATTGACAAATTCCAATTCAAGGCTTACCTGTTGCACTTGCTTGCGCTCGGATCCTGTGACCGTCTGTGCGAGGCCCTCAGTCACCTCCATGAGGACGCGCTCTGTCTTCCACGCCTTTCCCAACTCCTCCCTGCAAATTCCATACACGCGCACCCCATTTCGTCGTGAAAGCCGCATGAACAGAGTGCATTCAAGTTGTGTGGTGAACGCAACGACTGGAATGGCACGTGGTGCAAATTAAAATGACACGAATTCTCCGTGGAGAAAGGGAGTTGTTGGACAGAAGCGCATAGGCGCAAAAAGAGAAGCTGGAGCTGCTGTACAAAAACACGATGCTAGAGTGTCAGACGAAACGCACTTATTATTCTCGGGATCCATCTCCAGCCCCCGGACATAGTCTCGATACGCGGTGTAGAACTCATGGACCATGTCCATGTCCCTGCTCGGGTCCGCCGCGATGTCGCTCTCCTGCATCAACCGCACCCATGCAGCGACAGGTAAATTCTGGTGAGTAGCGGCCGACAGACGGTTTCAGGTAATCTGAGTCTGGCATGAAACGCAACTAGACATCTTTCGTGTATTTCCTTTTTCGCTACACGATTTCGGTAGTTTTTATGGTGTAACTAATATCAACGTTACTCATTTTCCATCCAGTTTCCAACCGCGTGTTCTATGCTGACCACTCACGGGCAAGAGAATGTGCAACGCCGTGACGAACTGGAGCACTCCGCGGCCTTGCATGTTGGGATCAAGAACCATCGCCTTCTTGTAAGCAGCATCGAGAACTGAAATGGGGGAAATAGGGGCGATGAAGGCATGAATCTCCGTTGCGCTAATCGTAAAAGATAAGAGTAAGCCGTATACTCAAACAACCGTGAATTTGATGCTACAAGAACAAATGATGAATTAACCCATAGCTAGACACACGACAGACACCTGATCGACACGTCCCGCACAGGACCCATGAATTTTCAGACACTTACTTAGTCGAGAAATGCGTGGATGTTCAGCTTCTAGGTCCTTCGCCGCTGCGAGGTAATCAGGTATGTTGGACCTCTGAGCCAGTGTCGGAGGCACAATATTGAGGCCATCGATCTGTCCTTCCGGTAGAACGGACTGAAAAAATACAGACTGTCGCTGTCTCGCTCGCGATACAGACTGCTGAGCGGCCTCAAGCACTCTCCGCCAGTTGTCTACAACTGGAGGTGGAATATCTTCTGCCATTGGGACTACCCTACTCTGTGATTGCTTCGTTCGTGTTACCTACGAAACGGAGTTGAGTGCGTCAACGCATTATGCCATGGATGATGACAACAACATAGCACACAAATTTCTGAAGGTATAACCAACAAGGGCTTCACGGATAACAATGCTTCTAGCAGATATGTTCCGATGAAACCCAAGAAATCAGCCTGATCATGGAGTCATGTGGAGTTGATCAGAAGTGAGGGAGGACATGCTCTAGGGAAAGATCTTCCAGTCCTGATTCCAGGGCGCTAGCCAGGCAGCAACAATTATGGGAACAGATTCATGGGCAGACACGAAACAAATTTACAATTGTAGGGGTCTAACGCGATTGGCTGTTGTGAACATTTTTGAACGCAGTCATAGCCGACAATGGTGCTTGGGCAAAACTCGAGCTGTTGTGAATGAGAGCGGGAAGTCCGGGGAACGCGTTCCATCCAAGGCAAGATCGATGTGCAAGGGAGCGCAAGGCGCGGCAGGCAGCCCAGAATTTTGATCGCCTTGAAAGCTCCAGCCTCGGCAGGGAAAAGAGTGTCGGTCACGGCGAATTTCAGATGACCCGAAGCTGCCTCTTGCCCCGCCGTCGATGCTCTTCTCCCAGACCGATCAAAGGATACGGGCAGCGAACACGACTGTGAATCACTCGCTTTCCACATCATCGATATTGTCGTCCACGTGACAGCATTTTACTTGCTAATGTGCTGGTTATCACATCGCTTACATTTTCGCATATGTCGTCAGTCTCGTTAGCGTCGAGATTATCAGATTGTTTCTGACTGGGGCTGGAACAATCAGTTCTCCGCTACCAAGCCTCAAGTCTCTCTCATCACACCGAGAACACCAAGAATCACCTCATTTCGCCAACACCAAATCACCATTTCCATGTCCTCCAGTGTCGACCATTACTTTGTCTGCCTTACTGCTTCACTGCGTCCCGTCCCGGGTACACACAAACTGGATAGTGATATCTATCAGTGGACTTTAGGAATTTCTTTTTATTTGTGCCAATGAGAATTCAATTGTAGCTCTTCCAACGTGTAGTCTGAACCAGATCTCGTGAAAATGCCTCCACACGACCTAGGAGGTCCTTCAGGAGGAAACATTCCGTCTTCTGGTGCACCGCATGAGCCGAAACACCCAATATACAACATAGTACTCACTGATCCTGATCACTGGCCACAAGCAAAGGATGGCAATCCGAACCCTCTGGCTCCCGAGGTGAGCTCCGCGAGCACACTGAATGTGCCTTGTGCGATGTGGTGAAGGATCCAGAGGGAATCTTGGGAAGATGTACTGGAAGAGAATCCACCAGACTTACTGAACGCCGACGTTTTTTCGTGGACGTTTCGCATAGTCCCCTGAATACAGCCTGCTGGATTTTTTTTACGAGTCAAAGCATGCGGTTTTCGGCTCCGAACGCCTGTTGTTGCCGTGACGTTGCACGCAATGCAAACCAATCTGTCATTGCTTATGGTTTGGCTCGTATAGACCGCTGGTTGTCGTCGTCCGCAAATAAATCAACCCATATTACCGTCACGGAAATAATCATTCGTTTCAGGTGCGAGCTGCAGTGGGAGCTCTTCGAAGGGCCGGTGCGAGCTTGGGATGGCCCGACGACCGAGGAAATCCGCCAACCGACGTCTTGGACTGCCTTCAAAACGCCTTCAGCTTCCAAGTGAGCTGAGCTTTTGACAGCTGATACGCACAATCTTCGCATTGAAACGATCTGCTTAGGTTCACTGTTGACACCACGGACCTAATTATACTGCCAAGAACGTGGTGACGGGACTGAAATTCTACATACTTGAAGTAATTACGTTCCTATTCCTGTCCGTGTCCTGTGCTCTTCTGCTCGCATGCAGTCTGGTAACGTTGTTAACCAGAGGGAGCATCTGGTTCTTCTACTAGCCAACAATCAGATGCGGATTCGACCGTTGGATCCCCTTGAAGCTGAGCCTCTGGTACGTGCACATGCATCTCGCGAGGTGGATTTGATTTGCCAAGCGTTGTTCCAAGCGGAGCAATGAAAGGACTACGTTTGACATGTGTTGACGCATGAATTTCAGATGAACTGGGCCATCAGGGTACAGCTAGCCGAGCGGGTTACTCTTGGCAGTCCACTAACAGTGAACGTATAGTATGTGTGAATGAGCAATGGATTCTTTTGATGACTTGATTTGTTTTGCAAGGCTTGTCTGATTGAATCCATGCAACATTTTATCCATCCACTGAGGAAGCTGCCATGTTTTTCCTTGCTAACTCCGATGCTGCAGCTTGACCCGAACGTGATCACGCTGGTGTGCGACCAGCTGTTGAGCAACTACAAGTCCTGGTGCACATACGTGGGCAAGAAGACCAGCATCATGTCAGTCAGTCTCCGTTATCGTCACGTTATGTCTTTGCGTGTCGCGTCTTAACATCCCTAACCACAGGCATGCGAATTTACCTTCCACTAATTTCGTGAGTTTCTGCTGGGGCTTGTCCATGCCAATACACTCTTTCTTACAAACAGCAAGTTATTTCGTATCCCTCCCTTGCCGTTTCAAGGCCCCACCTTAAATCGATCATGACTCTGGGTCCCATTTCCTGGCACTCATCCCTGTGGCTTCTCCAATCCAATCCAGTGACGACTCGGCTCTGGTTGGCCGCAAGAGGACTCCCCCCCCTACAGGGAGCACCGATTTAATCTACTGCTCCCTCTTCCTGCTCATATGGGGCGAGGCAGCCAACGTTCGCTTCCTCCCGGAATGCCTCTGCTACATTTTCCACCATGTGAGAGCCTGCTTTCCACCTTCCATCATGTGAACGCATGACCCACTTTGTTTCACACCTTCTTCAGCTCATGAGAAATCTCGTCTCACAGTCACAGATCTCTCTGTGGGGTCGTCGTCACCATGCGGCCCTTTCACCCAAAGTTCATGTTGCTACAGAAGCCAACAAGCGTTCGTTTTCTTTCCACTTACTCTCCTCTTTCTCCCCTCCCCATCCCCCTTGCCGTACCAGCTCGCAACAGAGACCAACGAGCTGATGACCCAGTCCACCAGGGCTCTTTCTCGCGACCGCAGCATGTGATGGGACAATCCCTGAGGCGCCTCACAAATCAGCCTTTTCCTTACCACTAACTCTCCTCTCCCTTCTCCCCCTCTTGCCCTACCAGCTCGCAACAGAGACCAACGAGCTGATGACCCAGTCTGCAAGGGCTCTTTCTCGCGACCGCAGCATTCCCAGCCAGCCGTACGGGTTCCTCAACACCATCATTCAGCCGCTCTACAATGCGATCAAAGGAGTACGTTCTGTGATTAGTCCTGTGTCTCGGGCTGAATGATACTCAAGCACTTGGCCATCGAGACTCAATCCAGTCCAGCCCCTGCATTGTTTTTTCCTCTCCATTTCCTTCTCCGTTTCTCTCATGTCTCTGTGTTTTTGCCCAGCACTCATCGCTCAAACCCCACTTTCCCTGCACGTGTCTCCCCTCTCCCCTGTCCCCATGGCAGGAAGCGGACAGCAATGTGGGGGGCAAGCTGCCGCACGCCAAGTGGCGCAATTACGACGACTTCAACGAGTTCTTCTGGTCGCCGCGCTGCTTCGACCGCCTCTCCTGGCCGCCCAACCAGTCCGCTGTCTTCTTCATCCCACCAGTATTGCCTTGCCACCTCCTTCACCCTGTCTGCCTTGCTGTTCTCCTATCCTGCCAGTACTTCTGTCTTGTTTTAGCATCGCTATAACCAACCCTCCAGTAAGCTGATTTTATAAAGGTGAAGCCATGCTGGTGGTGCTCTCTCCGTTGAATCACACATTCTCGTGTGGCCTCCTGTCACCATCCTCAGCATGTTTAACGGAGTCGCTGTCTATGTCATGATGTGACTTGCTCTGCTCCTGTGCACCTCCCCGCAGAACAAGACGGGTCACGAGGGTGGCAAGACGGGCTTTGTGGAGCAGCGCACCATCCTCAACATGTTCCGCAGTTTCGACCGCGTCTGGATTCTCCTCATCTTCGCCTTCCAGGTGCTTATCTTGGCACTTCCTCCCGGCCCCCCATCCCATCCCCACGCATGTCATGGCCTTGCCTTTTCCCTTGACTGGTTCCTTGCTCACCTCCCCCCTCTTTTCCCCCTTCTCCCCTTTCCTCCCCGCCCTTTCCGATTCCACTATCTGCTGCCCAATACCTGCCTCTCTGCCTGTACGCCAGCTCATGTTCATCACGGCATTGAAGGCGGAGGGCAGCAACCCCTTCACGTACCTGGCCGGAGACAGGGATACTGTGGCGCTGCTGCTCACCTGCTTCATCACATGGGCCGGCATCAACCTCTTTCTTGGTAAGAAGCAGTGCTGCGTGGTGGAATGTGGTGGTATGCGTTACTTCTTGACGGGTTTGAAGTGCATCTTCTCTTTGATGTCCCTCCCCAACATCTCTTTGTCCCTCCCCCTCCTTACACCCCGTAGTGGCGTCTCATCTCCACCCCTCAAACATGTGCTTCAACGTTGTCCTTCTCCCGTCGTCATTCTCTCTCCCCCCATCACACCTATAGCTCTGGCGGATATGGTGATGGAGTGGCGTCTCATCCGCCCCTCCAACATGCGCTTCAACGTCCGCCTGCTGCTGCGCCTCCTCGTTGCCATCGCCTGGTGCATCGCCTTCACCGCTCTCTACATGTATGTACCGCTCTCTACATGTATGTACCGCTCTCTACATGTATGTACCGCTCTCTACTTGCATTTAGTCGCTCCTGACCTGTATCTGCCACTATTTCTCTGCATGTTTCACAACCCGAGTTCTTATCCTGCCTTTCCATTGCCCTTTCCTCCTTTCACCTCCTCTTACTTCCCCGTCCCCACCATCAGGCACTTGAATCCAGAAACCCATTCCCTGTGTTCCTCTTTCTTCCCCTCTCCACCCACCTTCACCCCTCCTCTCCCAGAATGATGTGAAAAACACGCAAGTCAGCCACCTACTGGTCACCCGTGGCCAACACAGCCCTGTTCTGGCTCCTCATCGCAGCGCTCGTCTTCATGACCCCGCACCTGCTCTTCCGCCCTCTCCTCTCCTCTCCACCCCCATTCTGCCCACCCTCACCCATCTCCCTCCCTCTCAGCGTGATGTGGAATGCACGCAAGGCAGCCACCTATTGGTCCCCCGCAGCCAACACGGTCATGGTCTCGTTCCTCATAGCAGCGCTGGTCTTCATGACCCCGCACCTGCTGGGCATCCTGCTCTTTCTCACGCCTGAAATCAGCCGCCGCGTGGAGGCCTCCAGCTCCTCCTTCATCCGTATGCTGGTCACCTGCCTCGAGGTGAAGAGTTTTTTTCCCCTATTTTTATTTTCTTTTCTTTTTTGCTAGGGGTGAGGCGCATGCTTGTCACTTGCCTTGAGGTGAGGTTCATGCTTGGTATGTGCCTAGTTCTTGTGAGGCGCATGCTCCTCCTCCTTCTACCGCTTTGAAGGGCGGCAGGTGCTCATGTTATCTGTTCACCTGAGTGCACCGATAATCTGAAAATCAGCCCTCCGTATGTTGCTTATTCTTCAACCATTTGTGTCATATCTTACATCTAATCATCTGTGTCTCTTCCCCCATCCATCCATCTGCGTCTTATCCCTCCATCCATCTCAGGATGACAACTTTGTGGGCAGGGGAATGCGTGAAGACACATGGGACTCCATCAAGTATGTGCCTGCCCACTCGCCCACCCACCCACCCGCCCCCCTACCCCATCAACCGACCTCCTGCCTGGAAGCCCAGCCGCCTGCCTTCTTTCCAGCCTGCCCGCCTCCCTTCTGTGTGCCTGCCTGCCTTCTGCGTGCCTGCTGCTGTTTCTTGTTCTTGATGTCTCGCGGGCCTGCCTGATGTTCCCTTGCAAAAGGTCCGTCCGATGTGCCTTTGAAAACTAGCAGCAAGCAACAACAAAAGCTTGTGGCCTGTGGCAATGCATCTTTCCCTCTCGCAACAGGCGGCTCTGACTGGCTCTCTTCCACTCTCTCCTCACCTCCACCCGTTGCCTCTCCCGGCTCAGATACTCCATCTTTTGGCTGCTCCTCCTTACTGGAAAGTTTGCCTTCAGCTACTTCCTCCTGGTGAGCAAAAGCTGTTGCGTGCCCCTATCTCTCATTCCATTCTTTTTAGGATCTCTACCCACTGTCCTTCTCCCCTCTGTACTGTTTCCTTTCACTACCCTTCCTCCCAACCCTTATCATTTGCTTGATTCAGCTCTACTCCCGCGTTTCTCTCTTCCTCTCTCCTCTCACCCTGTCCCTGCCGTTTTCTCACCTCTTCCGCCTCATGCCTTTACGCCTTCTCGTCCTCTCCCCCGCTCCCCTTCTCCTCCTCTCCCCCTCTCCCCTATCCTGTGCAGATCCGGCCTATGGTGGAGCCCACAAAAGCACTGCTCAACACAACCATCCACTACACGTGGCCAGAGCTGTACAAGTCAGGTGCGCACCCACCGCATCCCATGCCAAGCCATCACATCCCATCCCATCACATCACATCCCATCCCCTCACATCCCATCCCATCACATCCCATCCCATCACATCCCATCCCATCCCATCCCATCCCTTTGCAACCCATCTCATCCCAACCCATGCCATCTTCTCCAACCCCGTCCCATGCCATTCTCTATGTGTTGGTACAGTCCCCTTGGACAATAACAGCTTAGTCACTGCCTTTTTCCAAATGTGTGCATGTGTGCTGGGGTGCGTGTGTATGTTCGCATGTGCATGTGTTCGTGTGCGCATGCATGTGTGCGCATCCATTGTTGTGTGTGCTCCTCTTTGTGCTACCAGGCAACTACGTCGCTGTCTTCTGGCTCTGGGCACCAGTGGGTGTGGTACGTCCCCACGTCTTATCACGTCTTCTCTCCATCCTTTCTTCCTTCCCTGATTCACCAACCCATCCACTGCTTCCTGCTTCCATCCTGCTTCCATCCTGCTTCTCTCTCTGCTCATGCATGCCTTTCCTCGTGACTGTGCTCCAATCAAAAGATGCAGCACGCACGTCTGCACCCTTGGCACTCTCCATGTTCCCATCCACCTATGTGCCCCCATTCCCCCAATGTCCTGTACCCCCTATGCCCCCATGCCCTTGTCCAGATTTACATCATGGATCTTTCGATATTCTACGCCATTTTCTCCTCTGTTGTGGGCTACATCATGGGCGTCTTTGCTCATATCGGGGAGGTGCGTAAGGGGGACGTGAGGGATGGAGGTAGGTACACTGCGCGCGAGGTACCCCCTTCCCAGAACCTGCTGTCATCTGATTTTGGTTGAAGGATAGTTGATTTGTGTTAGCAAGGGAAATGACATGCTCCCACTGGTCAGCCGTGTGAGTGAAGCTGCTTACCCTTTTCCCCCCGCTCCTCGTCCCTCCACGTGCCATGCACCTCAACCTATTGCACCCTCATGCCTGAAAAACCCTCCCCCACCACGCCACCATGCCCCTGTCTCCCTCTTTCAGAGGTGAGCCACGTGAAGCTACTCACACCGCACTTCCGCTTCCTGCCCCGGCCCATGCATCTCAACCCCTGCCTCATGTGCTCTTGCCCGTCCCGCCCCCTCCACCATGCCCTGGCCCCCTCCTCCCATCTCCACATATCCACTCTCATCTCCCTTCCACAGGTGAGCCACGTGAAGCTGCTCACGCTGCGTTTCCGCTTCCTGCCCCGCGCCATGCACCTCAACCTGCTGCCGCCTTCCACCAACGCCCAGCGCCGCGGTGGCATGCGCAGCGCCATGGCGCGCATGTGGAACCGCATGGCCATGACCTACGGGCTCGTCTCCCCTGACACATGGGTGCGTTTGGTCTGAGCAAGGCTACGCTTGTAGTATATCACTATGTTCAACAGTGATCTACGGGCTGCTTGCCTCACCCGAAACCTTTGTGTGTTTGGTCACCTGCTTTTGTCCCCTCCCTTGACCAATCGTTTCCAGCATCACTCGGTGCTCTTGCCTTGTGCTCACACGGATGGCTCGTTCCCCGAATGTTCGGCGTTTTTTGTCCGCATGCGCAGGAGATGGACGAGCGGTGGGCGGTGCTATGGAACAGCGTGATTGGGAGCTTCAGAGAAGAGGACCTCCTGTCTGACGCGTGAGTGGCAGGGAGGGGGGAGCGGAGCGGGGGGATTTGAGGGGTTTGGGAGTTTGTGTGGGTGATGGGAGAAGAGAACCTCCTGGCGGATGCATGAGTGGCAGGAGGCAATTGGGAAGGTGGGGAGCTTGGATTTGGGGGGGTGGGGGAGGGTGGGGGGGAAGGAGGGGGGAGAAAGGAGATTGTGAAACAGGCGTCAATTTCAATATTGCAGAGGGACCATCTGCCATAAAAATAGTTCTCTTTACTTCCGAACTCCACGGCGAGTATGAACTCCACCCATCCCCTCCTCCCCTGCTGCTCCTATCCCCCCTGTCCCCCTCCCCCCTGTACTTTCTCCCCATCCCCTCCTCCCCTGCTGTTCTCCTCCCCCCTGCCTGGCCCCTCACATGTGCCACAGCGAGCTGAACCTTCTGTCTATCCCCGAGGCCTACACCACGGCCACTGTTTCCCGCTGGCCCATTGTTCTACTGGCCGATCAGGTACGTCTCAGCGTGCTTATCGCAAATCAGGCCTGCCGTGCTTGTAACGGATTAGGGATGACCCATTGTGTTCATTTCACACCAGCTATGGTGCGTGGTGCTGTTGTAATACAGCAGCAGTGGTAGTACAAATACATCACGCTTCCTCCTTCCTCCTCTCACTCCACCTCCTCCACCACGCCCACCACCCTCTCCTCTCCTCTCAACCACATCACATCCCCCAACCAGGTGGTGAAGGCCACGACCATTGCCGGCCGGTGGAAAAACAGCTCCTCGTCCCTCTGGCGGCGCCTCTGCTCGTCCGACTTCTGCCGCTGCGCCGTGCTCGAGACCTTCGCCCTCTTCCGCCTCCTTCTCTCCCACTTGCTCATCGCCGGCACCCCCGAGCACCGCATGGTGCAGCAGCTGCTGGCAGAGATCGACGGTGCAGCCAGCGGGGCGGCAGGGGAGGCGCACACGGACAGAGACTTTGTGGATGACTTCAACTTGGGGAAGCTGCCCGCCGTGCAGGCCAAGCTCGTTGCTCTCACTGCGTTCCTGCTCAGGGGACCTACTGAGGAAGAACTTCCCAAGGTGGGTCGCCTTTCTAGAGGGTGCAGCCAGTGGGGTGGCAGGGGAGGCGCACACAGGTAGGGACTTTGTGGATGACTTCAACTTGGGGAAGCTGCCGGCTGTTCAGGCAAAGCTCGTGGCGCTCACTGCGTTTCTGCTCAGGGGACCCACAGAGGACGAGCTTCCTAAGGTGGGCTTTGTTTTGAGGCACTTGCAACTATACACGATGCTGCTCCCCGCCCTTCACCTCTGCACTCCCAGTCCCGCGCTCCCACCCCCACCCCCCGCCCACCCCTGCCACCCCACCAGGCCACCATGCTAGAGCGCCAGCGGCAACACGCTGCTGCGCTCTGCCCCTCACCTGTTACCTCTCAACCCACATCCCCAACCCTCCCGCCCCCACTGCCCCGCCCACCCCTCCCACCCCGCCAGGCTATCATGCTGGTACAGAACCTGCACGAGGTGGCAGTGAGGGACTTCTGGAGCGCCGGCAACTACACGCTGCTGCTCTCGAAGGGCGTCATCCCGCGCTCCACCCCCCCCGCCTCGCCGCTCTACGTGGGCGCCATCCACATGCCCGACCCCTCCGATCCAACCTACTTCGCCCCGCTGCAGCGCCTGCACTCGCTGCTCACCTGCCACAACGCCATGGCTACCATCCCTGCGAATCCGGAGGCTAGAAGGAGGGTTACGTTCTTCTGTAACTCGCTGTTCATGGCCATGCCGCCCGCTCCCACGGTGCAGCGCATGCGGTCATTCTGTGTGATGACGCCGTATTACAACGAGTCGGTGATGTATTCGCCGGATGAGCTCAGGTGGCCCAATGAAGATGGAATCTCTCTGCTCTACTACCTCCAAAACATCTTCCCAGGTATGTTGTGAGTCGGCTCAAGGACACACACACCACTCAGCGCATGCGGTCGTTCTGTGTGATGACTCCGTATTACAACGAGTCGGTGATGTATTCGCCGGATGAGCTCAGGCGGCCCAATGAAGATGGAATCTCTCTGCTCTACTACCTCCAAAACATCTTCCCAGGTATGTTGTGAGTCGGCTCAAGGACACACACACCACTCAGCGCATGCGGTCGTTCTGTGTGATGACTCCGTATTACAACGAGTCGGTGATGTATTCGCCGGATGAGCTCAGGCGGGCCAACGAGGATGGCATCTCCTCTACTACCTCCAAAACATCTTTCCAGGTGTGTTTGCTTTGGGGTCGATGTGAAATGCGCGCACCACAACGTGCAGCGCATGCGGTCGTTCTGTGTGATGACGCCGTATTACAACGAGTCAGTGATGTACTCGCCGGACGAGCTCAGGCGGCCCAATGAGGATGGCATTTCTCTGCTCTACTACCTCCAAAACATCTTCCCAGGTATGTTGAGTGGCGACTCAAAACACACACACATCACTCGGTGCAGCGCATGCGGTCGTTCTGCGTGATGACGCCGTACTATAACGAGTCGGTGATGTACTCGCCGGACGAGCTCAGGCGGCCCAACGAGGATGGTATCTCACTGCTGTACTACCTCCAAACATCTTCCCAGGTGTGTTTGGTTTGGGGTCGATGCGGTCGTTCTGCGTGATGACACCGTACTGTAACGAGTCAGTGATTATTGTTCCGGACGAGCTAAGGCGGCCCAACGAGGAGTGGCCGGGTATGCGCGGCAATGAGGTGTGAGAGTTGTATGATGGTAATGAGGTGTGCTGTTGGGCTTCTGATGTACCTCAACAGTTGTCCCATTTCTCCCGTGCTCTGCTGCTCCCTGTCCCTGCAGACGAGTGGAAGAACCTGGAGGAGCGGCTGGGGGTGCGGGGCAGGGAGGTGTGGGAGTTTGACGACGGTGCGGAGGTGTGCCGCTGGGCCTCCTACCGTGGCCAGACCCTCACTCGCACCGTGCGCGGCATCATGTATTACCACAGGTGTGTGTGCGCCATGAGGCACTCTCACTCACACCGTTGGTGCAATCCTATAACTGCTTTCACCATCTTCTGTGGTGCTGGGCCTCCTAGCGTGAGCAGACAGACTTTCACTCGCACCGTGCGCGGCATCATGTACTACCACAGGTGTGCAGGTGGCACCGAATATTCTCCCAACCTTGATGCAATCATATGCTAATATCATCGTGTTCTGTGCTCCGTTCATTCCATGGGGGGCCATGAGGTTCACCCCAAAACCCACACTGACCATGGCATGCCACCCCTTCTCATCCCCCCCAACAGCGCACTGGACCTGCTCTCCTACTTCGACACAGTCCCAGACGAACCCCTTGTGAGGCGCTCATACCCACACACACTGACCCTCCCTCTCCCCTATCCTCCCCCTTCCTCCCCCCACAGGGCACTCGACCTGCTCTCCTACTTTGACACCGACCCAGACGCCCCTCGTTTGAGGCTCCTCAAACCCACACTGACCATGACACCTTCTTCCCCCTTCCTCCCCTTCCCCCACAGGGCACTCGATCTGCTCTCCTACTTCGACACTGACCCGGACGCCCCTCCCACCGAAGGCCGCGAGCTTCATTCCAAGCGCCAAACCACCTCCGCACCTCCCGCCGAAGAGATGTCCGCTGCTGCCGCCGCCGCTGCTGCCGTCGCCTCTGCCTTTGGTGGCAGCGGGAGGAGGCCAGACGCGGGGTGGGACTCCCAGGGTTCAGTAGAGCACATGCGGGAGCAGATCTCGCAGCATCTGGGGCAGCAGCGAGAGTACGACCCCCAGTTTTCTCTAGCCGATGTGAAATTCACGTATGTGGTCGCCTGCCAGATTTACGGCGAGCACAAGCGCAAGAACGACCCGAAAGCGCGGCACGTTTTGGAGCTCATGCAGGAGAATCCCGCGCTCAGAATCGCGTACGTCGACGAGCAGCCGCCCGCGCCGGGAACGGGCGGCGGGACTCGGTACTACTCCGTCCTGGTGAAGTGGGACCAGTGGAATCAGCGCGAGGTGGAGATTTTCCGCGTGCAGTTACCAGGCCCGATCAAGATCGGTGAAGGGAAGCCGGAGAACCAGAACCATGCAATCATCTTCACGCGTGGGGAGGCGCTGCAGACGATCGACATGAACCAGGACAGCTATTTGGAAGAGGCGCTGAAGATTCGGAACTTTCTGGAGGAGTTTTCGGAGTCGCGGCGGCGGATTCTGGGGATGAGGGAGCATGTGTTCACGGGGAGTGTGTCGTCTCTCGCGGCGTTCATGTCGGCTCAGGAGACGGCGTTTGTCACCATTGGGCAGCGCGTGCTGTACAACCCCTTGAAGGTGCGTTGCTGGCCTGTCTCATGTTGTGAGTCTGGGGTAGGAGTGTGTCGTCACTCTCAAAACATTCGTTTCAGTACAGGAGATGCATTTCGTTCTTGCCATATGTGGTCACTGCCACCCACTCATTCTCCTCCCACACCCTCTCCTCTTCCTGTGTCTATCCCCTCACACCCCTCCAGGTGCGAATGCACTACGGGCATCCGGACGTGTTTGACCGCGTGTGGTCGCTGGCGCGGGGTGGCATCAGCAAGGCATCGCGGGTGATCAACATCAGTGAGGACATCTTCGCCGGATTCAACACCACTCTCAGACGTGGGGCCATCTCGCACCACGAGTACATTCAGGTGAGAGGAGGCGGCATGGATGGCTCCATGCAGCAGGTAAGGGGACTCAGAGTCTAGACATTCTTTTCCATCATGTTTACAAGGCCTGCCCAAGCCACATGGGGCTGAACCAGATTTCGAGGCAATGATAGCCATCCACCTTTCTCCATCACTCACTATGCCTCACCCTTCTTCCACACGCGCATGTGCCTTCCTCTCTGCCTTTAAACACATGTGCAACCCCCCCACTCCAGGTGGGCAAGGGCCGTGACGTGGGGCTGAACCAGATCTCGCTGTTCGAGGCCAAGGTGGCGAGCGGCAACGGCGAGCAGCTGCTGTCACGGGATGTGTACCGGCTGGGCCACGGGCTGGACATGTTCCGCCTGCTCTCCTTCTACACCACCTCCATCGGCTTCTTCTTCAGCACCGCCCTCACTGCCATGGCCGTGTACGCCTTCCTCTGGGGGAGGTGCTATATGGTGCTGTCCGGCGTGGAGGAGACGATTTCTTCGTCCGACAACCAGGCGCTATCTGCCGCCATCAACCAGCAGTTCCTCGTGCAGGTGTGCGACATAGTGACATAGGTGGTAATGCATCTAGTATCTTTAGGTATGCCTAGTGTTTTCTTTCCTACTGAAGCTGTAATCACCTCCTCACGTTCAGGCTAACGCTCATGAATGAGCCCCCTCCAAATAAGTGGATGCATGCTCATGGCCACTCCTTCCTTTTGCGCTCTCCCACTTCAAATCGACCTCTGTTCGTCGTAGCTTATGAGTTGGAATCGCAATTCTCCTTTCTTCTCCTGCCTCTCCTCCTTGCATTGGGTTCTTCCCACGCTGCTGACTCTCATAGCTGCTGGTTCTGATGAATCGTCCTTTCTTCCGTTCCTCCTTTCCTTCGCCTCCCCACTGCCGCAGATCGGGCTGTTCACATCACTGCCAATGCTGATGGAGCTGATACTGGAGAAGGGCACAGGGGCGGCGATCTGGGAGTTCCTCCTCATGCACGTGCAGCTCTGCTTCGCCTTCTTCACCTTCTCCCTCGGCACGCGTGCCCACTACTTCCTCCGCACGCTCATGCACGGCGGAGCCAAGGTGAGAGGGGCGTGATTGGGCCTAGCTGGGACGGGTGTGTATGATGCCTGATGCACGGGTGCAACCTCCCTTCCCCTCCCCCTCTTGTCGACCTCACTACTTCCTGCCCTCACTCATGCATGGCGGGGCCAAGGTGGGACGGGCGTGCTTGGGCCTAGGTGGGAGGGGCATGCATGGAGGCAGCCTTGAGACGTCTCAGAACAGGGGCATGCATGATGCATTCAGGGTTCCAGTTACACAGCCACAGTCCCCTTACGACATCTCCCCTTCATCCCCGTTTACCCCTCCCCCCTCTCTACTCCCCTCACCCCATTCCTCCCCTCCCCGTTCTCTCCCTTTTCCAGTACCGTGCAACAGGGCGTGGGTTTGTGGTGAAGCACGAGCCATTCGTGGAGAACTACCGGCTGTACTCTCGCAGCCACTTCAACAAGGCAGTGGAGCTGCTGCTCTGCCTCGTCATCTACATGCTCTACTCCTCCCTCCGCGCCTCCACCGCCTACTGGCTCCTCTCTCTCTCCGCCTGGATCCTCGTGCTCTCCTGGCTGCTCGCGCCCTTCGCCTTCAACCCCCTGGGGTTCGACTGGCTCAAGTGCTGCGATGACTGGGAGGAGTGGACGGCGTGGCTGTGGGCCAAGGGCGGGAAGGGGGTGACGGAGAAGCAGGCGTGGGTGGCGTGGTGGGACGAGGAGAGGGCGCATCTGAAGACGACGGGGTGGGGGGGGTGGCTCGTGGAGACGCTGCTGGCTCTGAGGTGGTTCTTTTTCCAATATGCGCTCGTGTACCGGGTGAGTGGAGTGCTGTCGGCTGGTGATGTGCCTGAAAGATCCTCTGAGGTGGTTCTTCTTTCAATATGCGCTCGTGTACCGGGTGAGTTTATCACACGCAGCTGTTGGTTTGTGAAGCACCTGAAAGATCCTCTCGGATGTTCCTTCTTTCGCCATGGGCCTCTTCTGGATCTCCCTCACCCTCTGCGACCTCTACCTCTCCCACATGAAGCACCCACTCACCCACATGTTTTCCCCACGTCCCTCCCCACTTCCTTCCCTCTCTCCCTCCCCACCTCCCTCCCTCCCCACTCTCCCCACCTCCCTCCTTCCCTGTTCCAAACTCCAGTTGGACATGGCCAGTGCGAGCACGAGCATCCTGGTCTACGTGTACTCGTGGCTCTTCATCTTTGCCATGGGCCTCTTCTGGATCTCCCTCACTCTCTGCGACCTCTACCTCTCCATACGCGCTCACCTCCTCCACCGCGCCGTCAAAACCACCATCTGCCTCGTCTTCCTTGCAGCCTTCATAACCGCTCTCTCCTTCACGAACCTCTCCTTTTCAGACGTCTTCCTGCTTCCTCTAGTCTTCCTTCCTACCGGGTGGGGGTTCCTGCAGCTGACTCTTGTGGTGGCTGGGGCGTTTCCTGTGGTCGAAACGTGGTGGACGTGGGGGCTTGTGAGGAGCTTTGCAAGGACGTATGAGTTTATTATCGGGGTGATTGTGTTTTTGCCCATGGCGGTGCTGTCATGGCTTCCGGGAGTTCAGGATATGCAGACCAAGGTGCTGTTCAACCAAGCATTCAGCCGGGGGTTACAAATCACACGGCTTGTTACAGGGGTGCATCCAAATGCAGGTTACTGATCAAAATATATGTTTGTGTGGGCGTATCAGCTAGTCTATTCTGTAATTTCAAGAGCATTGGCAGGTAGTGCATGTCTGTTCTTCGTGTGGATGGGGGGGGTTACTAAATTGAACATGAATGAATACAAGCTTCCATTTGTAAGGTATATTGAGTGTACTACAATTCTTACATAGGTGCCTATCATTTGAAGGCAGCACACCATTGGCTGCCGACTACTAGCGCGGTCACCTCCTCATCCTCCTGACTCCATGGTATCCGCGGTGTGCCACATCACCGCAACCACCTAAGCCTGATCACCCAAACCAAGTCAAATCGATTCCGCTTGTGGCTGAGAAACCACCGTGGCTGGTGTGGGTGGGGACCATGACAACATCTGTGACTCAGATGAAAAATGTGAGGTGTCGTGTCACACTGGGCCAATTCGACGTTCCTAGGAGGAGCAGGCTTTAAATTTACCAAATGTACCATGCGGAACCGTAATTTATTGTTCTAAAACTACAACAGCCGTGTGAATGTGGGCGGGGTATCTCCATCCTGAGTACACTATGGAGTTTCTGACGCTCAATTTCTGCTGCGGCCAGACCATACATTCCAGACCAAAAGCTGTTTCCTTGGGATCAGATCATCAGATTCCACTTGCACTGCACTCAAGCCGCTCTATCGAGACTGCACTTCTTACGAGTCAGACTGGCGGCAGACTGACAACTGACTTTAGTAACCTGTTACTACTTGACGAATCTGCATTCATCAGCTTAGCATCTGTCAGCATCCCGAGGTTTTCTTGGAAGCGCAGCGAAGCAGCCCGTAGCATCAGTCAGTAAACCCAGCCATGGGGTTGGTGGGGGAGATCCTGGGCCATCCAGACGAGTTCATGCCGCTGTTGCGGATCCGACACATGGCGAAGATGGTGTCGAAGCTTCCCGACGACGAGGATTTCGCTTTCTGCTACGGCATGCTCAACCGCGTCAGCAGAAGCTTCGCCTTCGTCATTCAGCAGCTGCACCCGCTACTGCGCGACCCGGTACGAAGTGAAGAAAATGTGACCTAATTGCGTAGTAATGGTCTCCAAAACAGCGGCAAGGATGGCGAAAATCCGAGTTTTAACTTACGAAAATGAGCACGTGATGAAGGAAACCCCATCTCTAACCTACTCTGAGCCAGGATCCTGATGAATTACCATCTGATGGTTGAACCAAGAGGTGAGAGGCGTGCGGTCATCCATTGGTACCGTCTGACGTCTCGACTGAATGCCGTGTTAATGAGTCTAGCGTGTGTTTCGCCATGTCCCCCACAGGTGTGCATCTTCTACCTCGTCCTACGCGCCCTTGACACAGTCGGTATGTTCACCCTTTCACCTTCTCACTCACCCGTGCCTTATCCGAAATGCCTCTCCCTTCCCATTCATGTAAATCTTCCCCTCTTCCGTCTTCCCACGTTCCTGCACCTGCTTCTTACTTGCACAGAAGCTAGCTTACTACGACAGTTCATGCTGCTACACCCTTTAGGTCCCCTTCAGCCATCCACATCACTCTCATCCCCTCTCGCGCTATGACCCACTCATCTACCCGCATTCAGTCATTCCGTCCCTCCCTCCCCGCGATTCATTACTTACTCGCTCCGTTCTCCGTTCCTCTCCCACCCTCCCTTCCACACCAACTCTCCTCCTTCCCTCCCACCAGAGGACGACATGGCAGTGCCAATAGACGAGAAGGTCCCCATCCTCATCGCCTTCCACCAACACATCTGCGACCCCGACTGGAAATTCGTCTGTCAGTAGCTTCTCCCCTCCCTTCCACCAACCCCCCGTTTCCTCCACCCCCTCACATACCGCCCTTCTCCTTCTCCTCTCACGCCTGCGGTTCCAAACGCTCTGACGATGTCTTGCTTCTCTTGCAGCTGCGTTTCTGTAAGCCTTTCTTGGTCCAATCAACCCAACTCCAATTTGAAACTTCCCCCCACCAAGGAGGACTAATAGGACTATGCTCATATTTAGCTCCTTCACACATATTTCCTTGCTCGGCCTGACATTATTCCAACCTATGTGCAGGCGGCACCAAAGGCTACACGGACCTCGCTCGCTCATACACAACTTCTCCATTCGTCTTCCCTTTTCCGCCTCACTCTGCTCTCCCCCCCCTCTTCCCACCACCAGGCGGCACCAAGGACCACAAGGACCTCATGCAGCGCCTGCACCACGTGCCTTCCCTCGCCCGGCCTGCCATCCCAACCCCCCTCTCCCCGCTCCCCCTTGTCCCTCCCTTCCCCCTTCTCCCACCACCAGGCGGCACCAAGGACTACAAGGACCTCATGCAGCGCCTGCACCACGTGCGCCACGCACTTGAAAAGCTAGAGCCCAGGTGAGATGAGACGAGCTGCAGCAGCCAGGCCATTCCAGGCTAGAAGCTAGTGTGAGAGTGAGACCGTGCAATGGAACCCAGGGACGATGAGGTAGCACAAAGGAGAGCCCAAGTAGGTTGAGGTACAGGCAGGCCACTCTAGGCCCACGTGCACGTGCAACTCTATGCCAGATTCTCGGTCCACGTGCAATCGTGGAGCTCAATCTGGGATTCACGATACAGTGCTACCACTTCCCATCCCATCTTGCGCTCCTCCCCTTCCTCTCCTCCCCTACCCCCTCCCCTTCCTCTCTTCCCCTACCCCCTCCCCTTCCTCAAACCCTAAACCTTAAACCATGGACCCGCACATGCACCCACACGTGGCAGGTACAAGGCGGTGATTCTGGACATAACGAGGCGCATGGGAGCAGGCATGGCGTCCTTCATCACCACCGAGGTCAGCCCCTCCCAGCCACTCTCAGCCGCTATCAACCCCTCTGTGCCCCTCCCAGCCAGCCACTCTCAGCCGCTATCAACCCCTCTGTGCCCCTCTCGGCCCGTCTCAACTGCTGTCAGCCCCTCTCAGACGCTTCAACATAATCCCGCTGTGGCCCTTGTCTCGGTCCTCTCTACCGTGCATCACTTCCCCTTCTGCATCTCTGCCAAAGCCAATCCCTTTCCTGAGAATTGAGCCCTGAACATTCCACCCTGCAAATCTAATCTTGGCTGTTGTTCTATCCAGCAGACCGGTCCCCAGGTGGAGACCAAGGGCACAGCACGACAAATACTGCACACTAGCTCAAATCGCCCACCACCTCTCTGCTTAACCTCATTGCCCTTCCCTGGCCTGCAAAATCCCTTATAAATCCTGGGGTTCGGCGAGTGTAGTAAAACCCCAGATGGAGACGGACGGTGGCAGGCACAGTATGATGAAGACTGCTACTGGCTCGTATTTCCCTCCACCTCTATGCACAAATCCCATTCCTCGTTTCTTTCCACACCGCCCCCAGGGCCCCCAGAGCTAGATGTGAGTACTAACACTATCTAGCTCACATTGCCCTCCACCCACGCTTGACTCCATTCCTTTCCTCCATGTGGAATCATGTACCTGGCTTGTTAACCCCCCAGGTGGAGACGGTGCCACAGTACGACGAGTACTGCCACTACGTGGCAGGGCTGGTGGGCATCGGCCTGTCGGATCTCTTCCACGCGGCCAACCTGGAGGAAGCGTTTGAGGAGTCGCTCTCCAACTCCATGGGGCTCTTCCTGCAGGTGCGTGCGTCCATGCGCTCGTCCATCCACCCACTTGTCCTTCCTTCCCTCATTTGTCCGTCATCTGTCAATTCGTCCATCCGTCTGTCCGTTGCTCACATGTTGTTTCCCCCGGGCATTGAGGCACCTTAGAAGTCTTTCATGCCGCCAACCTAGAAGAAGCAATCGCGGAGTATCCATGGCAATCCATGGCCTATTCCTGCAGGTCCGCCAATCCGTGCATCATCCATCCATCCACCCGTCCGTCCGTCCTCCTGTGACCTGTCCATCCATCCATGCTTTCGTCCATCCATCCGTCCACTCATCAGCTTGAGGCATCTGTGTGTGCGTGCCCCCAAACGTGCATGTCCCAATGCATGCATGTCACCATGTCCCCCATGCGTGGCCCCATGTCCTCATGTCCCCCATGCATGTCCCCATGTCCCCATGTCCCCCATGCGTGCCCCCATGTCCCCCATGCGTGTCCCCATGTCCCCCATGCGTGTCCCCATGCCCCCCATGCCTCCATGGCACAGAAGACCAACATCATCCGCGACTATCTAGAGGACATAACAGAAGAACCCGCCCCTCGCATGTTCTGGCCCAAAGCCATCTGGGGCAAGTACGCTGCACGCTTGGAGGTGAGCCACTTTGCAGAGGAATTCTGAGTACACTCAAGTGCCACTGTGCTGCGGGAAGGAATGGGCTAAGCAGATTGTTATGTTTTCACCATGCCTTGGAAAAAGAAGCTCCGAGCATGTTCTGGTGCAAAGCCATCTGGGGCAAAGCCATCTGGGGCAAAGCCATCTGGGGCGAGTACGCCGAGCGCCTCGAGGTAAGCTGCCCTGGGAGGGGATATGCCAAGCATTCTCCTGCCACGTGCCTGCATTCTTGTCACCCCCACTACCCCCCACCCCCCACCACTGTGTTCCGTTCTTGTATCATGGCTATGCGTGCACTGTCATCCCCCCAACCAAGTATTTCAAGGACGCGGACAACAGCAACGGAGCGGCGGCAGTGAATCGCTTTGAGACGTCTCACAGCTACTCGACCACTGTTGTGTTTCGCTGTTCCTCTCCCGCCCCTCTCTATCCACACCAGGACTTGAAGGACGTGGGGAGCAATGGAGCAGCGGCAGTGAAGTGTGTGAACGAACTGGTGACAAACGCGCTGGGCCATGTGTCCGACTGCCTCACCTACATGCACCGCCTCAGAGACCCCCAAGTCTTCCGCTTCTGCGCCATTCCCCAGGTCCGTGAGTGACAACTCAGCATTCCCCACGTCCGTGTGTGACAGGTCAGCATTCCCCAGGTCTGTGAGTGACAGGTCAGCATTCCCAAGGTCTGTGAGTGACAGGTCAGCATTCCCCAGGTTTGTCACTGACAGGTCAGCATACCCAGAGTCCATTACTGACAAATCATTATTCCATTCTCCCATGTGGTCAACTTCCCAAAGGCTTGCTCTCTGCCACAACAAGCATTTCAAACCGTCTCAGCACTGGAACCGCTTCGTGCCCACCCACCCCAGATTCAGAAAACACGGCCATGGGCACGCCCGTTTGAACCGCCCCAGAGGCTTCCAGCTTCAACTTCAATCCTTCCATGCTGTGCTTGTGAGGCGCCTCTAAACGCTGCTTATATACGCTCCTTCTCCACCCCGGTCCCCGCACAGATCATGGCCATGGGCACACTTGCATTGTGCTACAACAACATTGGCGTCTTTGAAGGCGTGGTCAAGATGAGAAAAGGTGCTGTCACCGTAGGACCCCTTTCCTCTCGTTGCTGAAGCATGTGTATGGTCGTACCCACTTTTTTCTCTCGTTTCTATTAGATTTTCCTTCGGATAACGTTTCCTTCCATTAGTTTTCCCTTCCCCGCTCACCTTCCGCTTTCCCATTGGGCTGTGTGTAACAGTCTTGGGGTTGGGGCTCACCCATCTCGACCTGTCTTCACCTCTCCCTCACACTGTGCCTTTTGCCTTGCACGCCCCCCACCCTTTGTCGCGCCACGCCCTTCCTCGCCCCACACCCCATCCTGGGGGTCAGGTCTAGCAGCGAAGGTGATGGAGCAGACGTGGAGCATGGCGGACGTACGCTCCTCTTTCACTGACTTTGGCTTCGAGATCTTGAAAAAGGTACGGCCTAGCCTGCCTTATCACTCGCTCTCGCGGCTTTTGAGATGCCTCAAAACGGCTCATGGCACAAGTGCGCTCTGCCTTCACTGACTTTGGCTTCACTGAAGTGGCTTTGAGATCTTGAACAAGGTATGTCCTTCCCGGCCACTTGCTCTGTGAAAGAAGTGGATTCTTGAGACGTCTAAAAAAAATTCCCTGCCACTTGCTTACACATCATCCTTTAGTGGAGCGACTGGCCCTTTCTCTGGCCTCTACACCTTCCCTCCATAACCCTATCCTATCCCCGGTCACACCACGTCGTCACACCCCCACACCCACCCCCACGGACGGCAGGTGGACGATTCAGATCCAAACTCGCAACAAACGCGGGAGTGTATTGGCAAGATCATCGCCTCTTGCAGAACAGAGGGGAGGCTAGTAAGGGGACGCCTGTCAGTCTGTGACAATGCCAAGTGGCGGTATCTGTTCTATTTATTCCTTATTGTAAGGGCCCTTGCCTCCAGTTACTTGACTGGTGGCCCGCTTTCTGCCCTGTCTCAGTCCCTCACTCTCTCGCGGCCTTTCTCCCTGCCGTTGTCCTTCCTATCCCCCTCCCATTCGTCCGCCCTCACCTGTCTCCCTGCTTCATTGCTTTCTCCATTCTAGACTGCTCCTTTTCTCTCGCCGCCTTCCTTCCTCCACTGCACCCCTTTCTCGTTACCCGTTCATCTGTCCACTAACAACGCTGCATCCATCTGCATCTGTCTGCATCCATCTGCGATCATTTGCAGCAAAGCTCGCCATAACCACCACCGCACTGAATGTTGGCTTGCAGGATAACATGTCTGCTCCGTCTTCTGTTCCTTGATTCTCTGCCTGCAGGTGACGCTGATCTTCTACGTTGTCTCATACTTGAATACCGCCTTCTCATCATAAGGGGCTTGTTTCAGACTGGTGGTGTAACAAACAACACAACACTTGTGTGCTTTACTTGTTACCGTAAATCAATCCAATTTTTGGCACGAGCATCTCGAGTAAAAGTTTCCTCTTGCAGTCTTTCAGTGTAATAAATACTCGATATGTGTCTCTGGCCAGCTCTCCAGAGTCAGCAGTAGCAGCAAAGCCATGCATTGACCCGATTATCATGCACTGACTGACATCAAGCACGTTTGCATAAGACGTGGTACGGTTCTACTGCATCTCCCTTTTTTGTCCAGCTCTCGCAATACCCATCGCTCAGCCCTAGTACGATATGAGAAATTTGGGCAGTGGGCTTTTTGAAATTTAGGCAGACCAGACATTCATGAAATGGCCTTTTGGAAACTATCATGCATGGCCAAAAGAGGCGAGAAAGCCGTATTCCGCTTGCATCAACCAGGAGAAGGGCTAGTCTGGTCGTAGATTGAACAAACAAATACATACTGAAGTTCTTGCACTCACCACCCTAAGCAATATCACAAAGTTATACGGAAATAAAAATGTCTTGCTCCAAGCGCGTCTAAAGTGTATATTGAGTGTGAAGTTGAATCTTGCCATACGTGAATGGTCACCGACTTTCTTCCGCTGACTCGGACACAGGGAGAAGATACGAACCACAGGGGGCACGACACGTGTTTCGCGAACATTCCAAGGATACAACAAGGCGCAGACCCGTCTACCATCCTGCGCCCCGCTCAACTTCCCCGCATTTCCCCCACAGTTGCCTTGAACCGCCCCTCCAACCATCGATTGTACTGTTACTGCACAGCGTTGGGGTAATCGCTTCCTTGGGATAATCGATGCCACACTTGGAGGTTGAGGGTCAATCGCGACTGAGAACCAAGCCTGAGTTGTCGTCCTCAAGCCTGAGCGTCTGCTTCGATGTCCGACCTGGACCAACTTCACTGGCAACCGCATTTACTGTACCATGTCGAGCCTCCCCTCTTTCCCCAAATCCCCGCCTTGTCTGCGCAAACCACAGTTCCCGAATCCCCTCCTCCCAACGCTTCCTATTTCTGCCTGATTGCCAGAGCAGCCTATATTGGCCGAATCAACATTTCTTGTAATTCAATCTGGCTCTTCATTCTCCTGGGACTTGCTCCTGGTTCCGTGTTCCTGTGTAAAAGACTAGGTGTACAGAACTTGTAGCCATGGCCAAGTCCTACCCTACCGTCAGCGAGGAGTACCAGACTGCCGTTACCAAGGCTAAAAGGGAGTTGAGGGCTCTCATTGCGGAGAAGAACTGCGCTCCCATTATCGTCCGCCTGGCGTAAGTATTGGCTTGCGCTTCGTCAACGCGATTCTCTGGCCGGACCGTCTTACAGATCCAATGGCGTAGGCTGACATGGAAGCTGACGGTGGTCTTGAGTCCGCATGCAGATGGCACGGTGCTGGCACCTTTGATGTCAAGGACAAGTCCGGAGGTCCGTTCGGAACAATCCGCAAGCCGGAGGAGCTGGCGCACGGAGCGAACGCTGGTCTCAAGTGGGCTGTTGACGTCCTTGAGCCCATCAAGGCCAAGTACAACATCCTCTCGTACGGCGATCTCTACCAGGTTCGTGCTACTGCCTCGTTCTGCATTCGTTCCCGTCTTTGTGACGTACTCCGGCGTACGTCAGTCTAAACCATGTAACCTGTTTTGAGCAGCTTGCTGGAGTCGTCGCTGTGGAGATCACTGGAGGCCCAGAGATCGACTTCCATCCCGGACGCAAGGTAATTCACACGTTGCATAAACCCAACCCCGAATCTCATATTTTTCCATATTTGAGTTCTGCCCGTAAGTATTTCAATCGTATAGTATCTTGAGAGTTCTTCATTCCTGTGAATGCTCCCAGGATGGGGAGAAGGTCCCGCCTGAAGGCCGCCTACCAGATGCCACGAAGGGCTCCAACCACCTGAGGGACATCTTCTACAAGATGGGCCTCAACGACAAGGAGATCGTCGCACTCTCTGGCGCTCACTCTCTGGTGAGTAGGGTCTGAGAATTTGGGAGTCATTGTCAACGCCAGATCCGTTTTGCATCTCAACGCAGACAAATGGAGAAACAATCACAATTAACAATGTGACGCGTTTATCACTGGCAGGGGAGATGCCACAAGGAGAGGTCAGGGTTTGAGGGCGCGTGGACCACACAACCCCTGAAGTTTGACAACGAGTACTTTGTGTAAGTGGACAGGCAGTGACTGAAACTCATAATCCCCCCAGTAGGAGTCACAGATAAAGAACGAATCTCATATTTTCCGTGTTTGCCACTGCAGCAACCTTCTGGGCGACAATGACAAGGGTCTGCTGGTCCTTCCCAGTGACAAGGCCCTCGTGGAGGACCCCGAGTTCAAGAAGTTTGTCGAACTCTATGCCAAGGTGCGTTGTGCTTCTGTAACTAACAGTATTTGTCTTGGCTCACACTGCGAACACATGCCTAAGTTCACTAGTGTGGTGTGCCTGGGATGTTACAGGATGAGGATGCCTTCTTCGCTGACTATGCTGCGGCCCACCTAAGGCTATCTGAGCTCGGGTAAGAAGACTGAAGAGGACGATCAGGGCACAAATGTGTAACCATCTATATCATAGGAGGATGCAATCCATTAAGGACATTGTTTTCTGCAGTTGCTCATGCTTTTTTTCTTTTGGTTTCCGTGCAGGTTCGCCGATGCTTGAAGTTTAAACACCTGAGTATATTATTGTGGATGTCTGCTTTGTTCTCATGGTGTAAAAAGTCCACTGAAGCATTATATTTTCCCTGGATATATCGTGTCGTCAGTGAAACGTGTAGGTCAAGGTTCATCACTTGCTTGCCATCCTAATTTGCCCACCGCCATCTAAGTGAATTGTGTAGATACACTCACCGGTGTCACTGGGAAATCAAATTCCCAATTCGGAAGACATGCCATGAGAGTAAATCCTGGTTCTTCTATGTGCAATACATTACCATCTTTTGGTGGGAAAATGTAACGAAGGATTTGTCAGAACACGCTCTTAACTCTTGACTTAGTAACTTAGGGTTTACCTAGGAAGCGTGAGTGTCGAGAGTGAGCATGGCAAGAGAATTGGGCAAAGAGAGGATTCACTAAGGAATGTTTACAAGATATAGGATAGGGGAGAGGATAGGGTACACCACCAGCAGTTGAACCTAATAACTAACTAATACACTAGCAAGCTGTAGGCAGTTAGGATATGCAATATAATTCAACACACCCCCGTAACTGCCTACGGCTATAGCTAGTGGTGTCTGGCACCAGGTCGCCTGGAGAGCGGTTGCTGTAGCTGGGATAGGCACAGAAACAGCGGTGGCTGAGCGGCAGCACCTGTGAACGCCAGAACGGAGGAGGGCGCGGAGAGCGCGGAGGAGGGCTGGGATAGCCGGAGGGCGAAGGATGCTGGTCGCTCGCCATCTACGAGCAAACACAACTGTTGGTGAGGAGGAAGCTGGTGGTGGTGCACAGGAGGAGAGCAGAGGAGATGCGGCTGGAGAGGAGAGAGGAGGAGGAGATGCGGCTACAGGAGAGGAGACTGGAGGAGGAGATGCGGCAGAAGGAGAGGAGAGGAGAGAGGAGGAGATGCGGCTGGAGGAGAAGAGGAGAGGAGAGGAGAAGAGAGGAGAAGAGGAGGAGGAGAGGAGAGGAGAGGAGAGGAGAGGAGGTGGCTGGCGCGGCAGAAGCTTTCCCGCCACCCCCTCATTCCCCTCCCCCCCATGCGCTGGCGCTGGCGGAAGTGCTGGCGCTGGGCGCTGGCGTCGCGCTGGCGCTGGCGCCCGCCGTTGGCGCTTGCGCTAGCGCCCGCCGTCGGCGCTGGCGTCCGCGCTGGCGCTTGCGACCGCCGTTGGCGCTGGCGGTGGCGCCCGCCGTTGGCGCTGGCGCTGGCGCCCGCCGTTGGCGCTTGCGCTGGCGCCCGCCGTCGCCTCGCTGGCACGCTCGCCACTGGCAGAGCGCGACGGGGCAGGCGAAAGGGGGCAGCGCGACGGGTGCTGCAAAAGCAGCGGAGTTCGAGCCAGCAGCGGATTTCGCGCTACTAGCAGTAGCAGCCATGCCAGCAGCACAATAAGTCGCCATGGCAGATCGCGGGTTTGGTGGGCCCATGAAAACGAGGTCCTAGGAGGGACCACTCTCTGATATCATGTCAGAATCCCAACCACTAGACCATTGGGATAAAAGGGCTTGTTTGTGTAGCGGGTAAGTGCGCCCATAACCCCCCAGGCCAACGTGCCTGTAACCCTTCCCTAGGATCAATCGGGGATCACCAGTGGACCTCTGACACCCCCCCCGCACTGGGATGCCCGAAGTGCACACACCGGGATTCGAACCCGAGACCTTCGCTCTGATAACATGTCAGAACACGCTCTTAACTCTTGACTTAGTAACTTAGGGTTTACCTAGGAAGCGTGAGTGTCGAGAGTGAGCATGGCAAGAGAATTGGGCAAAGAGAGGATTCACTAAGGAATGTTTACAAGATATAGGATAGGGGAGAGGATAGGGTACACCACCAGCAGTTGAACCTAATAACTAACTAATACACTAGCAAGCTGTAGGCAGTTAGGATATGCAATATAATTCAACAGGATTGTAAACTGCAGGGAGGAAGAGATATTATAATTTTTAAACACACATTGTGTTTTTCAAAATTGTGTATTGTGAAAGCGAAGCTGCTTGTATTGCATAATTGGCATCGTCGAAGCGTGCTAAACGCCCTTCTCCAACTACAAAACCCATGGGTTTGAGCTCATTTCCTCCACCCACATTTCTCTATTTTCAAACGGCTCACTCAATCTTTCCGCTCACATAGTTTATCCCTCCGTCCAAGCTAGCTAGGACAAAATCGCTTCCTAGAGGCGAGTCACCCTCGACTTTACTCAGCGACATTTTTAACTTCAATCGCTCAACGATGGCACCAACGCCGACACTTAACAACGGGAAATCGTCCAACCCCACATCCGACTCCGACCGTAACACCCGCGATTTGGCGGGCGAACGCCGTAACAAGCGACGGGCAGAGGATGGACCGCCCGCCCCGACTGCAGTGGACGTGCTGCTGGGTGGGCTCGATGTCAACAAACAGGGCGACGCCCAGCAGCACCTTTCGGCGCCTGTGGCGCCAGTGGCACCTGCGGCGCAAGTGGCGACGGCTGCTGGCGCGGCACACGCCACTGACGCCGAGCACACGCCAGCAACCGCGGCTGGACCGTCGCGTCAGCGCCAGAGGAGGCGGACGGCGGTCTCCTCGTCTGACTCGACGACCGCCCCTGCGTTGACCCCCGACCAGGTCAACGCACTGCTATCCCTTCCACAGCAGCAGCCCGTCAGCGTTATAGCCGCGGAAACTGCACTACCGGCTGCATCTGCGTCGGCTAAAAAAGAAAATGCGAAAAATGAAAAAGGCACGCGAGGAGCAAGGACGAATCGGCACGACAACGACGCAGCGACAGCATCGCCCCCTGCTCCAGCGGCCGACAATGACACCGACGACTCTGAAGATGAAGCCGGTGAGGCTCCAGTAAACAATGTTAATTTTAATGCCACGGAACACCTTCCCCCCCCTCCCTTCTTCTAACCTCACATTTTCGGCGGCAACATTCATCAACGACTCCGTGCGCGAGCAAGCGGAGCTGCTGGAGGACTTGCGCGCGTACCTGCTGCACGTGGAACAAAAGGCACAGCGCGGGGACCCGGCGGGAGGAAACAAAGCCTACAGCAAGTGAGGAAGCGTAGGCACAAGACCTAACAAAGTGCAGAAACGCTGATGATCACCAGACGGAAGCGCCTTGGTGAATATATCAGCAGTGTTGGCCCGAGTGGCCACGTAAGTAAGACGAAGCTGGCCACGCTGCTGCAGCTCTCGAGCAAGGAAGTAACGTAGAGCGATGTGCTTTGTTCTGTGCTCCAGTCTGTGCTCCTGACACAAGGCAATGGCGGCCTTGTTGTCGACGTACAGAACTGGAGGAGAACGAGGTCGCTCTCCCAAGTCGGTCAGCAGGTAGGTGAGCCAGCGTAGCTCCTGCGCAGCCATGGCTGTGGTGTAGATCTCGGCCTCACAGCTGGAGTCGAGAACTGAAGACGAACGTGTAGAATGCCAGGAAACTGAACCAGAACCAAGGCTGAAGGTGTAACCCTGTGACGACCGCTGCGTAGCCTGGTCGTCAACCCAAGAGGCGTCCGAGTCACCAGTGAGGACAACGTCACCCCGTCCTCCAAGCACGAGCCCCATGCCCGATGTACTCCACAAGTAGCGTAGTACCCTCTTAGCAGCATCCATGTGCACCTTTCGGTGCCGACCAGGAGCCACGTAGCGAGCCAGAAGGCCAAGAGGGTATGCAAGGTCAGGACGAGTGCAGGTCATCAGGTACATGAGACAGCCCACTAGCTCTGGGTAAGGACCACTCGGCTCTACGGACTCGTCCGAAGGTGGAGCTGAGAGCGAGTGACCTGTAGCCAGAGGAGTGGCCTGTGCTGAGGACCAGGAGAAGCCGAAGCGCTGAAGGACCTGCTGCACCATGTGTGACTGAGTCAGTGTGATGGTGCGGCGTGCTCTGTCCCGGGTGATCTGCAAGCCAAGATAGCTGTGCAGTTCACCCAGGTCTGTGCACGTGTGTCTCTTCTGCAGCTTCGACTTCACCAGGGCGAGAGCCTCAGTGTCAACAATGGCAAAGACCAAGTCGTCGACGTACACGAGGATGTAGAACGGCGGCAGCGAAGTGTCGGTGCGCAGAAACAGTGACGGGTCAGCAGTCGACGGAGCAAACCCAAGAGCCGCAAGTGTCGTCCTCAGTGTGTCGTACCACTCACGTGGCGCCTGGCGGAGACCGTAGACCGGCCGCGGGAGGCTCCACTGGGAACCAGGAGGGAACGACCCAGTGAAGCCAGGAGGGCGGCGCAGCCAAATCTCCTCGTGCAAGCTGCCCTGTAAGAAGGCTGTGCTCAAGTCAAGAGAGTGAAGCTCGTAGTCACGCTGAGCGGCAACATGCAGCAGCACCCGAAGAGTGGTCTGTCAGAGGTCCACTGGTGATCCCCGATTGATCCTAGGGAAGGGTTACAGGCTCGTTGTCCTGGGGGGTTATGGGCGCACTGACCCGCTACTTAACAAGCCCTTTTATCCCAATGGTCTAGTGGTTGGGATTCTGACATGGTCATCTTCGGGGTGGGGGAGAAGGTCTGGAAGAAGTCAACTCCCTCTCGCTGACTGAAGCCTCGAGCCACGTAACGAGCCTTGAAGACAAGCGGAGAACCTGGAGGCCGCTTCACCCTAAAAATCCACATGCCACTGACAATGTTCGCCCCAGGAGGGGGAACCTCGTCGACGTAGGTGCCTGTGGACTTCTAGGATGCCATCTCTGCGTCCATGGTTGTCTGCCACTGAGAGGAGTACTCACCCGCGATCGCCTCAGCGTAAGAGCGCGGGGTAGGGATGTCTGGTGCATCCGGGTCTCCCTCAGGGGCAAGCAGCATGGATACGAGATGAGGCGCAGCGGCTGCAAGACACTCAAGGTCCTCCTGCCTGTCCTCAAGGACGTCCGTGCCAAGAGCACACTCACCCCCGACGGACGGAGGACAGACAGACTCAGACTCAGCAACAAGACTGGCGGCGTAGTCTAGACGACAGTGAGCAACAAAGTCAACAAGCTCAGCGACTAAGGCAGACGCAGCAGCAGACTCAAACGACGGGTCAGT